ATCCTCTGGTTAGAGCAAAGCTTTTTATTTCGGTGGAATCCTTATAAAGCTGATAAAAACTAATAAATTGTAAGAAGAAAAGCCCATCAGCAAGTTGGGAGCAGACTGATTGTCCCAGTGCTCAGCCTTCACCTACTGTTTTGCACTGCTGCGTGCTGGCAGGGGATCAGGAAGGTGCAAGCCTACAGACAGGAGGTGGGTTGCTCCAGACAGCATGTTCAGCATTTCATGGCAGTGGTAGAAATGAGATGTCCAACACATCTCCTCTGTGCATCTCCCACCGCGTCCGACGTACGGCTCCCAGCAGCTGGGTGCGTGCTGCTGTACTGCGGCTCCCGGCTCCTGGCAGATGTGAGCATAGGCTCGAGCTGGAATGCACTTTCCCAGACGTTTCACTGAAAGCTCTTTAATTTGGGGTTCTGTGGTGTGCCTTATCAGTGGTGAGTGCATTTGAATGAGTGAGTAAAGCAGTGAGGCGGTGATCTTCCGGGATGGGTGAGTCAGCTGTGAGCTGCGCTCTGGGGCTTTTGCAGCGTGAAACGGTTTCTCGGTGTCGAATTAATGAGGTTTCAGCTTTTCCAAAATCTGAAAAGTATTAGTCTGGGTCTGAATTTCTGAATGGTATAAACAGCCCTGTGGTGAGAGCGGCAGTCGCTGGCCACCAAGACGTTCGAGATGCTTCTCAGATGGAATTCCAGCAGCGAATGTCAGCAGCACCCGGCTTGGCTCACACCTCTGCTCCTGCCCCAGGGCTGCAGCTGCAGCTCCCAGCGCTTGCTGGGAGTACTGGGGAAGAGCTGAGCTCCCCAAAACGTGCACAGGCTGTCTGCATGGGATCCCCGTGTGTGCGTGGTGAAACACATCCTGACCCTGCTCTTGTTTGTGCAGTGCTGATGCTGGTGGGGGTCTCAGTGGAGCAGTATGAGATTCACATCTCCAAGAGCTCTCAGGTTAGGATAGTGTGTAATCAATATGCATGTGTTACTGCTGAGGAAGCAAAGTGATGTGCAAAGCAGCACAGCAGCTTCAGTGGGGAGCACAGAGGAGGGAGCAGTGAATGATGTCAGGTAGGGTGTGTGGGGTTGCTGAGAAGTCCTGGGGTGCACACAGTGTAAATGAGAGTCCTGCACTCAGTCCCAGCCCTGCACACGGATGTCTGCGGGGACAGCTGCCTTGCTGGGAGCATCTGTGTGCTGTGTGCTGGGCTTCCAGATCAAAGAATGGTTTAATAAGGAAAAAAAAGGGGAGAAGGAGGATGAGAACAATAAGTAGATTTAATTTTAGCCTTGCATGGATTCCTCATAAAGTCAACACGCCCAGAACTGCCTCACTGGCCTCTAGCTTTCCTAAATAAACACACTGTAGCAGGACTGAGAAGTGAAGCCGCGCAGAGTTACAGAAAGCTGAATTTTAGTGTTATACAGGACCATGAAGGGCTCTTTTACTGTGGATCCTGCAGTTAAATTGTAACACTGTACCAAAGTACAGAGGGCTGCCTTAGTAGGCAAGCTCTGAAGTTTGCAGCCGAGCTTTGTTGACCTGCAGGTTCCCTGCTGGAAGGATGCCTGTTCTTTGTCAGTTCTACAGGTTGGGAGGTATGGATTTGACTTACGGACCAATTTTGGATTTACTTTGTAAGAACTCGCTAAACATTAAAAAGACTTGAAATAGTTCAGGCAGTGCCATAAAACAGTCATGGCCATAACACAGAAAAAATGAAGGGTGCAGCTCATCATCATGGAGGCAGCAGAGATAGAGCCAGGAGTGCTGGAGGTGGAAGGCGATAGCCGGGCAGTCACCAAGTGCTGTGCACAGAGCCTGCAGGGAGTGCCACTGTGAGCTGGGACATTCCAGGTGAGAGAGTCAGCAGGTGAGGAAATGAGCAAGGCTCAGCTTAGTGTGAATCTAACGAGACCAAGGATATGGTGGAAGCTCCGGTTTGTTCCATCAGTACTACCATGAAGCCAAAAATGTGCAAAGGTTTGCTTTCCTCTCTCTTGTGGTTGTGCGGATCGGAAATAATCCCACTCAGAGGAAGGGAAGGAGGAGAAAGTGAGCTGGGAATTAGGGCTTGGGAATATAAACTGCTCTGCCACGTCTCAGAGAGGAGCTGGCGTTAAGCTGCACCATGGAGCCACTGAAGCAGTGCATGAGGTTTCCCGGTGTAGAGGATTCATTAGCAGAATTGAGGTTTAATTCTGCCATTGCAGCTGAGGGAAGCTACGTGTTCTGTGTTCTCCTCCGCTCACATCATGCCTGCCAAGCTGCTGCTGGAATTCAGGGGATGCACTGCTGGCTATGTGTGGGGCTCTGGTAGACAGCAGCGGTCTCTGCAATGGGCACTGGGTGCTTCCTCTGCTGCCCACGTCCTGCTGTCCCCAGGGCTGTTCTCAGTGACCCACACAGAGGAATGGATGGCCGTGTCCTCGGGCTGCTGGGCACGGCTCCCATGGAAGTTCCCATGAGTAGGAAATGGTTTTCTGTGCTCGGAGGCTGGTGGCAAGGTCTCGTGTTTTGGGATGGATGTGCTCTAATTGGCTTACTGATGCACGCGGGGCCTTTGATGTGAGCGGATGGATTAGGAGGAGCCTGTCCTGTTTGATGCTGGCACGTTTATGTCATGATTCATAAATAAAAAGGATTTAGACTTAAAGATCATAAGATTAGCAAGAAAGAGCAACAGCTTAATGCCATTAATTAGCAACGCTTATGCTTTTAAGTCACTCAAGATGCTGCCACGTTTGTTTTCCAAAACAATAAGCCTGTACATTGTCATTAAAATGAAGAATAAGTTAGAGGAAGCTGAGTTCTGTCCTTGCGTGGCAGCTGGGAGAGATTGGGGTGGTTCGGGCCGGGCTGGGGGTGCAGTGCCTCTCTGCAGCTTGGGTTTGCTGTGGGGATGCTGAATTGGATGGAGCTGGGCTTTGTCCAGTAGGTTAAATGTGTATATTTCCTTGATGCGCCGCTAGTTTTATTTTTAACTCTTAGGCAATTTAATATTTTGTGGGCCTGCTAGTATTTCCCCCTGGTTTTCCATCTGCTACTGTGATTAAATGAAGTTGTAGCTTTATAATGCCAGTCCAGAGCAAACGAAATGGAAACCTTACCTATATGACTTGGCATGTGGACAGTAGACATGAATAACTTTGGAATTTGTGGGGAAAAAGAGAAGTTATGTGTGCTTGGAGCCAGAATACAGCCGGGAATCGGCCTCTGCAGACAGGATCGAGCTGCAGCTTCTGAACTGAATGCCAAAGGCTTCCGAGCGCGAGCTGCATGGAGGGGGGAAGGTGGGAGATTGGCAGTCCTGGGCCTGCAGATAGCCAGAAAGTGCTGCTGTGTGTGATGCCCCTAACCAGAGGACCTGGAAGTGGCTAAGAGACGCCTGGGAGTCATTTCACTGGGCTGCGGGGAGCAAGAAATACAGACTGCGATTATGTGTGGTTAATTGTGATGGGAGCCAAAGCTGTGCAGGCAGAAGGGTTGAGCCAAGGCGATGGAGCAGCCTTCTGTGCCATAGCTGCTGATGCAAGAGATGCAGAGTGGGGGAGTTCACACTTCAGAATGAAATCAGAGTTAATCTGTTTTGAAGTTTGTTCATCCAAATCGCTGCCTGGGCCTTGTTTCCCTCCCTCAGGCTGCACTCACAGAATTGTTAAGGTTGGAGAAGAACTCTGAGATCCCCAACCCCCCCACATCCTCTCCCACGTCCCTCAGTGCCACATCCCCACAGCTCTGGGACACCCCCAGGGATGATGACCTGGTGGTGGGCCACTGCCTGACTGCTCTTTGGAGAAGGAATTATTCCTCATACTCACCCTGACCCTCCCCTGGTGCACTGTGAAGCCATCACCTCTTGTCCTATCACTGTTACCAGGGAGCAGAGATGACCTGCACTTTGCTCCAACCTCTTTTCAAGGAGCTGGAGAGAGTAATTGGGCTCTGCAGAGCTCTCCAGGATGGCTTCTGGTCCCAGGACATGCATTGCAGGTAAACAGAGAGGCTTCCCCTACAGCTTAGGCCCAGTGAAGCTCTGAAACACGTTTGCATCGTCACAAGTAAGGAATGGCACTTGACGGAGCCCCAGGAAAAATACCAAGGAGTGCATTAAAATGATAAGCAGAACTGATAAGGTATATGGTGAGAGACTGAGAGGGGAATCAACAGCAGATAGCATCACAGCCTGTAAATACTATCGACATGACAGCACAGATGAGCAAAGAGAAGAGTATTTGTTATCTGATAGAAAACGAGCTTCAGGAAGAGCAGCAGCAGAGTGGTGGAAAGGCTCTGGGAGCGGGTGACACTCATCCACTGGTGGAAGTAGTGAGGTCTGGTGGGAATGCAGCAGGGCCTGGGGTGGGCGAGCAGGTGCCTGTGTCTCAGAGTGAGATATGTGAGCTACAGCAGGAGAGATGCTTCGTGCTCTGGCACGTGGCCTTCCTGTGCTGCATCCTGCTGATAGGAGGCTCTTGAGATGTGGTGCTTGCAGAGCTCTCCTTGTGCTGTGCAAATAGCTTTGGAGTGCTGCCACTCCAAAGTGTGCTGGGTGGTAGGCACCCAGCTGGGCTGTCCTGCACTGTGTTATGGTGGGCAGCTGTGCTTCCAGCTACACTATAAAACAAATAGGGCTGCGTGTGGTGACATTTGGAAACCTGAACAGCATCTTGCTGTTAAAATAGAATGAAATGGATTTTAAGGACCTCGTCTGGAGAAAAGCAGCCTTCTGCAGTGCTCGGCACCAGGTGCTTGCTGTATCAGTGTGCTCAGGGCTGGAAGGCTCCTGCTGCATCCCAGTGCATTCTGCAGCACGAGGGGGCATTGCTGGCACTTCTGGGGCCAAAGGCAATGCTGAGAGGGAATGTTTTTGAGTAATGCTGTCAACAGGAATTCACGTAAAACAATGAGGGTGAGTGCAGCCCTGCTGCCTCGGTTCACCCACATCTGCTGCCTCCCAAACCCGAGCCCACTACCTGATGCTCCTTTCTCTCTCCCTGCAGAACGCGATGAACTTGCCTCCTGACAAAGCCCGTCTGCTGCGGCAGTACGACAATGAGAAGAAGTGGGAGCTCATCTGCGACCAGGTGAGGTGGCCGGGGGGCTGATGGCACACACCTCCTTAGCAGCACGCATGGGGTTTGTCAGTGCAGGACCCTAAAAGGGCACCTTGCAGGAGATGAGCATTTGGGTGGTTTCTGACACTCCTTTCTTTGGCCTCGTGCTCATTACTGGTAACAAACTCATGGAATCTGTGTGCAGTGGATGGGTTCTCACCTTGTAAGTAAGCTGTGTGATGTCAGTGAGTGATTTTGATGCAGTTGGGCGCGTGGCTTTCCCTGTCCTGAGCCATTGCCCCATATGGCCATAGCTGTCACCTTCGGTGAAAGACAAATGGTGATGCAGTCTGAACTCCCCTTCACCTCCAGAGCCTGAGCAGCAGCCTGGGATTAAGCAGCACCATATGCTGAGGCATCCCTCATGCACAGCTGTGTGCGGGGCAGGCTTGGCAGCAGTGTGTAGCAATTAACAGGTTGGTCTGCTGTAACAAATGGGCAAAAACAGCATTCTTTAGAGAAAGTGAAGCGTGTGGAAGGTGGGGTGTGCATCTGTGAGCCAGCAGCAAAATCTGCCATAAACTTCAAAGTGATTGCTAATGAAAGTGATTGATCCAGGGCTGAAAGAGTGGGATGCTTCCTTGAGATGGCAGTACAGGTATCAGGATGATGGTTCAGCAGAAGGCACAGTCATGCTGTGAGGTTAGGAGCGTCCTATGAATAGGTTTGTGGGACACTTCCTTTATACCCATTACAGTGGCAGAGCCTCCAATGAAATCCAAGTACCAAATCCACCCTTCCCAGAGTCCCACTGTCCCAGAGGATGTGCTTAGGGCTGCAATCTGCTGCAGCTGCCCCATGTCCCTGCTGGGTGCTCGCCAGCCACTGAGGATTGGAGCAGCATGGAGCAGGTGTCTGTAACAGCACCATAGCACAGCATATGGTGTGTGAAATATTTATATCTGTCCGTGTAATTATGGTACGTGGCTGCAAACACTTCTAGAAATAGATTCTGTATGGAACGTAAGCTGTTAGAGAGGAAGCAAACTTTGATTGCTGTTTTCTATAATAATACATTTTGTATCTGCTTTGACGAGGTGGATGTGCTTTCTGGTGAGCCATTGCAGGGGCTGCAGTGCTGGTTGTGGGGAATCAGCCAGGATGGTGCTCCCTCTCCTTTGTCCTTGTAAGTCATCCACACTTTGCTGCAGCTTCCCTATAAGCTTGCTCCCTGCCTCTTTGGGTCGGTGAACAAGGAATACATCTAAGGAGGAGGAGAAGAATGAAACCAGGTCTGGAGGACGTGATGTGAGCAGCCGACTTCCAGACAGGGAGAGGAGATAATGTGCCCTGCTTGATGAGCCAAGCCACTCTCATGGAGTGTTTAGTGGCACTGCTGGCATTTCGGTCCAGCTGTGTGCGCTGAAGTGTTGGGGGGACATGAATGTTGAGAGGTTGTGAGCATCTTAGGAGGTTCTTCATTGCCCTCTAATGGCAAGCTGTGGCAGGGGTGGAGATCGTGTCCTGTCCCTTGGAGGTGCATGGAGAGCAACTAATGAAGAGCACCAAGATGGAAGCAGTGTGGTGGCACCCGAACTTCAGCCCTGAGCTGCTGCTGGAGCCCTTTCCCAACAGTGCTGGGACTCCAGAGGAAGGAAGGGACAGTTTGGCAGGCTGGTGGCCGGTGTGGGGTCACGGGGATGGTGGAAGCTTCTCCTGGACTTGCAGTGCCCAAGGAGCAATGCTGGTGGTGCCTGAGGGAGCCGGGCTGAAGGCCAGGCTGTGCGTGAGCCTGAGCCCAGAAATGAGCTGTGTTGAGGTTTTACCATCAGAAACAAACAGTGCTCCAAATAGCCCATGGAAGAACATCTGAAACCACAGAGGGACCCTGAGACTGTCTTCATTGACACTGAGCTGAAAGGAGCTTTGGCTGTAGTTGTTAGATCATGTTCTTAGGAGGAAAGAAATGTTTATTGCTGAGCCCTCCATCCTGCCAGAAGCTGCATGGTGACAGAGAGTTTCACAGCAGCTCGTGCTGCCCAGCCTAGCCCACATGTGCTTTTACACCCTTCCAAAGGGCAAATGGCACACAGCTTCCCCAGCAGTGCCGAGTCAGACCCACTGAATGCTTACCTGGCCTGTGTGAGCCCTGAGAGCAGAATGAGCCAGCAAGGGTAACAATAATAACAGATGTCATTAACACAGAAAACATCCTGAATGTTTTTGGAAGCAGAATATCTCTGGAAAAGCCACAATTTCCTGGTTTCGGAATAAATACATTTCCCAGATTGAGGTGAACAAGGGATGTATCGAGTTCTTCATGGGACTGCATGGAAGAGGAAATGCAGGATTCCAGCAGTTCCTCCTCATTGCTGAAGTGAAACCCCTGGCCTCACTTGCTGTATCCACCAGGAGAAGGTGCTGATGCAGGGCAGTGGGAGCAGTGCTGTGTGCCCAGCCCGAGCTTCTCCCTGACTCATTCTCCATCATTCATTCCTCTCAGGGAGGCACAGAGCGGCTCACTGCAGCGTTGGGCAGTGCTCTTCCATTTCAGCCTTTGGGCTGAGGTTCCCCAGCAGGTTGCAAGTAAGAAAGGGCCCATTATTTCTGCAAAATGAATTTCCATATCACGTGGTTGGACAAAGGCAGGACAGTTACTGCTGGTCCATGCCTTTCTGATGTCGAGGCTGCAGATAGCAGCAGTGCCTCGAGTCTGCACAGAGCAGATAAAACAGCTTTTGGTTGGGATTCACAACAGTGTTGTGTCTGCCCGGCTCTGCTCCATGCAGCCACCTGCCTCCTGCATGGTGAAATCTGGGGAGGTGAGATCGAGTTGGAAGCACTGTGTGTCTGTGGAGGAGACCCCCAGCCTCACACAGTGTGAGACTCACAGCCTGAGACGTTTTTATTTTGAAAACAGATTTGGCCGATGAGCAGTTATGGGTTGCCAGAGGAGGAGAGGATGGGTAAAAGCAGTAGCTTTAGCTTGTTATTTCTGGTTCTTAAGGGTTAGGGGAGGATAGCAGTGGGCTTGCCTCCTCAGGGAAGGAAGAGCTGAGGAAGCAGAGGAAAGGGACCAGCATTTCCCTGCGTGGGACCTGGTGATGGCTGCAGGCTTCAGTCCTTCGGCCCAAGTAATTCTGCTATGTGATAATGAGCAGTATTTATTTAATGACCTTGCTGTAGAGATCATTACACAAGTACATAATTATGGCTGGTTTCAAGAAAACAAACACACAAAAGTGTGTGCTATCTGCGTCACGGACTGCTGGGCTTGCTTGCTGAGTCTCTTCAAGTGGTTTGTGCTGAAGACTTTCAGTTATTGACCCCAGGGCTGGGAAAGCTTGTGCCACTTAGCACTCCTGAATGAAGCATTCCTGAATGAAAGAAATGACTCTGAAAGACTAAAACTCTTCAGACTCCTGAAGAGGAGTCCAAAACTCCTCTCTAGAGGATTACATATAACACAGCAAAGCCATGGTGGCACTAGGAGCTCCCCAAAAGGAGGATCAATCCCACAGCTGTCCCTTTGCTGCCCACACTCCCCCCCCCCCCCACTGCTGCCTCCAGGGATGGCCCGGCCCTCCTGCAGCCCCAGGGCAGTGCTTGGGAACAGCAAGCACACTGCTGCCCTCATGGTTCAGTTGCAGAGGAGGACATCAGTGCTGAGTGCTGGGATATCCCCAGAGCTGACACAAAGCTCCAGTGGTGGTCCTGAAGCTCTGGTGACTCCTTAGGACGTGTCCTCATTCAGAGCAAATTGCTTCTGTTGTTTGTCTGCCAGAGTAAAGGAGTTCTGAAATAAGTTGATGGATGGAACTACTTCTAAATCACTTCTGTGCGCTTTGCCCACTGCAAAGCCATGGTGGGCTCTGTCCTGGGGAAGCTGGATGTCTAAATGTGAAACTGTCCCAACTGTTCCATAAAAAGCACTCACACCGAGCTAGCAGTCAAAGACCTTTGAATACTGACATGTTATACTTTTAGATGTTTTACTTTCTGTGCCTAAATGTTCTGTATTCTGAAGTCCCCGACAACATACTTGGGTTCCTGCCTCTGTTGTCTCTCTTCATAAGAATCAGGGTTGCAGCAGGTGCTCTCTTTGCAGGGCAGGAGCTGTGCTGAAGCCTTACACCCATCTGCAGCCCTCCCCGTGATGCCACGCTGCCTCTTGTACCTGGCTCTCCCAGCACCCTGACAGCACTTCCAATTAACAGCAATTTAACTACAGTTGTGACTTCTCAGCGGTCACACTGAGGCACACAGATAGAAGGGTCTAAGGAAGAGAGAGGTTCTGTGAACATACGAGCTTCCTTGGCCCCCTGGCAATGCAGCAGCCAGGTAATGAGCTTGTAGCAGTGATTGCCTCCTCTCTCAGCAGTTAGATTGGGCTTCTTGAAACCAGTCCTGTGTGTGGCTGCTTGCTACATGATGGCTTGTTCTCTGCTTTTATGGGCTGGGTGATCCAAATGTTCCCTCTTCACCTCCATCACCACAAATTGTGTTCATTTCCCTGAGGTTTAGAGGGAGTGAAGGGACTGACCATGGGTGCACAGCTCTGTGGTTCCTGAGCTGTTTTTGAGATAAAAAGGCAGTGCCAAGTTCCATCTGTGAGGGTGCATGGGAAGCAATCCTACTATAATGCAGGGCAGAAATGTCTGCTTTGTATTTTAAGGAGCCATAGCTTGGGGCTGCTGGACCGCAGGATAGATTTGTGAGTCCATTTTTCCTCTCTGACCATGATAAATGGCTTTTTTTACAGCAAGTAGCAAGATAATAACAGGAACAAAGTTTGGTGTTCAGACAGTGTGTTCTGGTACTGGCAGCAGCATGCTCCTTGGTAGGAAATAACGTCCAGATAATGCAGGCAGAATTGCATCCTGACCTCATATGTGAGGGTTTCAGGTATCAGTTACAGAATGCGAAGCTGTAGCACCAGGAGGAAATTGCTATGAGGCCTTTCCTCAAGAGAAAGGACAGAATAGTTTAAAATTCTTCCAAGATGCAAATAGTATCAGAACTTTTGGTAATGCTCTTACCAGGCATGGACACAGCATGCTTCTTACAGACTAAGTCCTGTTTCACTGCAGCTCCATAGAGCTGGGGAGATGAGGGGAGAGCAGTGGGAGGTGTGTGCCTTGCTGAAGTCAAAGCTTTGATGCCATCTCCCATAACATCCTTGTAGGCAAGCATAGGGTTGGTGAATGGGCAGCGAGGTGGGCTGAGAACAAGCTGGATGAGTAACCACACACATCAGTGTGGGTACAGGGCTGAGCTGCTGGAAAGGAGCTCTGCAGAGAAGGACCTGGGTGTCCTAGTGGACAGCAGGGTGATGGTGAGCCAGTGGTGTGCCCTGGTGGCCAAGAGAGGCCCATGATACCCTGAGGTGTGTTGCACAGAGCACGGCCAGCAGGGCAGGAGGTGCTCCTCCCCTCTGCTCTGCCCTGAGGGGGCACAGCTGGAGCAATGTACTGTGTGCTAGGCTCCCCAATTCAGGGCAGATTGGGAACTGCTGGGGCAGCCCCATGGAGGGCTGCAGAGCTGCTGGGGCCTGGAGCACCTCCTGATGGGGACAGGCTGAGAGCCCCGGAGCTGTGCATCCAAAGGAGAGAAGGCTGAGGGGTCTGAGCAGCTCTGACCCACAGCTGAAGGGCAGGGGATGGGGCCGGGCTCTGTTTGGTGGTGCCTTTCAATCCAGCTCGGGCAAGTATTTGCTCCTGCAGCACTTCTCTTGCCCTCCATGCTCCTGCTGAACAGAGGCTCTACAGTCCCAGGTGTGTTTGTTTGTGTCTGTAACTGGAATTCAAAACTGTAATTGAATATGTAAGCTGTATTTTTATGCATCCAATATAAATATCAAATTTCAGAAAATCAAGATACATGTAAAGATGGTTTATTTGCATGCATATGGTACATGTGGAGATTATAGATGAATACAGGGTATGTACGTATATATTTATAGTGTGTGTTCTGCTTAAATATGTACGTGTATGCATGCACTTCATACATATCATAAGTAAATACAGAAAATGTTGTAAGATGGTTGATGTTTATTCTTACATCCTTTTCAGGAAAGGTTCCAAGTGAAGAATCCCCCACACACGTACATCCAGAAGCTGAAGGGCTATCTGGACCCGGCTGTCACCAGGAAGGTGAGGAGCATCCTGTTTCCTCCTGGCTGTCCTTTGTTCGTGCAAGAGGAGCTCCTGGGGTCCTGATTCCTTCCTGCCTTTGTGTGCAAGGCCCCATGGAGCTCTCAGAAAAGTCCTGGAGATGTAACAAAATGCAGAGGAAGGTTGGAAAGACACTGTGGCTTTTGTGGCTTAGAAAGCAGAACAGATGTTGCAAAGAAGAGGGCCATCTGACACATAAAATTGTTTTAATATCTTTAGCTCCAATAAACAGTCTGACAAATTGTCGCTGAGCTGTGCTCCAGGTCTGGCTTCCCACGTGGGCAGTACTGGTGGCAGATAAATCCCATGTCTGTGGCACCTCTCTCACCCCGTGGACGAGATGTTGCAGCTCTGTGTCTTGTTCTCTGGGCATGCACATGAAGTGACTGCGCACAGCGGTCACCTGCTGCTGGCAGAGCCATCAGAGAGCCCTGTCTTTATCTCCCTGTAGTGCATCTCCAGAGCTGGCTGCTTCTGATGCTTCTGCACCTCTCCTGAAGGCTTACTAATAGCCTCTAGGATTTCAGAACAGCATAAATTCACATCCCCGTTTAGAGGACCATCACTGAACCTCTGGTATTCTCTCACAGTGGACATCAGCTCATATCCTGTGCTGATTGTTACAACAGCCTAAAGAAAAGGCAGCAGGGCAAGCAGTTCCTGCCATCGGCTGGCTCTCTGTGCTGCCCCGACAATTGCTGCTTTGTGTTGCAGTGCAATTAACCCAGCTGAGTGCCCTGGGGTAAGATGTGCATCCTGGCACTCTGCTGGGGCCAGGGCCTGCTGGAAGGGCAGCAGTGCACCCTGCTCTGCAGGCACAGGAGGTGGGCACCCTGCCCTGCTGCCCACACCTCCTCGCTGCTGTCCCGGGGGCTGCATTAATGCCTTCCGACAGCGCTTCTCTTGTCGGAGGCTGCCACAAGGAGCTGGAAGCCATTTAGGAGGAAACCTTGAATTGTGCCCTAGCTGGTTATGTGGGTTTGGCTTTGTTTTGTTTTGTTTTTTAATCTGAACAGGGGTCTTTGTGTTTTTCTCCTGCAGGGTTTTTGAAATTCGTTCAGTGTTTGGCTTTGCTCTGTGGTGAACGCACATTGAAGCCTTTCTTATCCTAATGCTGCTCTAAGAGTCTCATGACAAATGACAAAACTGAAGGAGCCTAAAAATAACTGCATTGAGTTTCTCCCTTCTGTTGCATTATTCTGTACCAACAGCAGCCTTCCTTCAGCCTGGGCCTCGAGTGGGAAAGATTTCCAAGAGAACCTCTGGGCAGATGCTGTGGGGAGAATGATACCCCATTACTGCTGTCATTGGGGCTGGGCCAGCACTCTTGCTTTTAGGAGGAAGTTTTTCCCCCAGAGGGTGGTGAGGCACTGGCACAGGCTGCCCAAGGAGGCTGTGGATGCCCCATCCCTGCAGGCATTCAAGGCCAGGCTGGATGTGGCTCTGGGCAGCCTGGGCTGCTGGTTGGTGACCTGCACACAGCAGGGGTTGGATTTGGGTGAGCACTGAGGTCCTTTGCAACCCAGGAAAGCCATTCTGTGATTCTGTAACTCCCAGCATGGCCAAGAGAAAGTCTCAGCACTGCTGTCATCTGTGTACTTGGGGCTGTCATTGGGACCCTGATGACTTCCCAGGAAAGCTGTGACTTTCTGCCTGAGCTGAGGTTGGACACAGAAAACTTGAAATGTGGAGATCAGACATTTTAAAAGAAATCCCAGTTTGGAGGTTTCTGGGGCCAGTAAGGCACCAAGGCACATAGTGCTGTCGTGGCTGCCAAAAAACCCCATGGGATCGGGCTGCCTATTTCTACTGTGCCCTTCTACCCTGGCTCCTGTCTCTACTCCCTGCTACATCACTGTTTTACCCTTTACCCTTTACTTCTAGAGATGTAAGATTTTACTGCCTGTGGTTATATTGTATCTATATCAGCTCTCTCTGAGAGGAGGCGCCGGGTTTTTGTACTCTGAGCTAGTTCTCTGTCCTGCAGAGAAACCTTAGGTCTGATTGCAACCATCTATTTCAAAGTGAAAATGAACAGAGCCCTGTGTCCACCAGGACCTCACAGTGGGACTCATTTTGGGCCAGCCATGGTTTTCTGAGCCCAATAAGCCACTGGTGCTAACTGGGCTGTGCCACAGCCCTCATGAAAAAGGCTGCTGGTAACCTTCTGTAGGCCATCAAGGTGAGGCGAGTCCTGGGCTTTCACCATTCCCACCTCAATCCATCCATCCTGAAAACCATTCAGGGCACAGTCCTTGGAGCATCGCTGTGTCCTAGGAGCTCATAACCCTACCAGCCTTTCCCAGCACATCACACGTGTGTGTGCTCTAATGGTGACCAAGTTGGTTTGCAAATGCTGCAGTTCCAGGGTGATGCTCATTATCCATCTGCTTCTATTCTTACTCACTTCTACTATTCTGGGATAATATATGTGCATGGTTTAGATAGGATAAGTCAGAGTAAGGCCCTCTCATCCTGGGGGCTGCTTTGGTACACTTCCAAGCACAGGGAGCACAAAGCAGGAAGAAAACCACAGGTATTCCCCAGTTGGGAGAAGAGCAGGACTGCTGTGCTCTGGGGCAGCCCTGCTGCAAGCTCTGTGGGGATTCAGGAGCTCTCCTGGCTTGGGATGGGGCATTTAATGTGTGTGTTTAGAGGATCTCTGCCTCCCCAGTGCCTGCTCTGAACCTGGGACTCCTGCTGCATTGCTGCTCCCACGTGGAGGTGACACCAAGCATCTTTGTGCTGTGTTGCTGCCCAGCATTTCACTGCTGCCATTTGAAGGCCTCTTTCCGGCTTCTGATTTTGCAGATGCTATTTTGGGAGCACAAATTATTACACTGTGCAGATGGGAGCACATGTGTGTTTCATTATCAACTCGCACCTACGAGTTTGGTAATTACACAGAAATTGCAGCATTTTTTTGGTGTGGGTATAGAGTTGCAGAAGCAAGATTAAAGCACGGGGCTGAGGGTGAAGTCCACACACTGTAGCTCTCAGTGGACAGTTTGATACTGAAACAAAGCTTGTACTGTAAAGAAATGTGTATTTATCTCCAGGCTTTTCATTTTCTTAATCCTGGAAACTCAAAAACGTGCATGGGACCAGAAGTTATTTTTCTGAATTTGTTTTTGTTGATTGCCTGGCTATTGTTGTAGCATTCCTGAGGATTTAGAGGGTTCTCAGCTTACCCCAATGTTGTATTTGTTCAATCTGTGCCATATGAGATGCTGATATTTTTGATAGCATCGTGGGAGTCCTAAGAGCTATTTTTGCCTCCTCACTCTGTTACAGAAATTCAGGAGACGAGTCCAAGAGTCCACCCAAGTACTCCGAGAACTGGAAATCTCTTTGCGAACAAACCACATTGGGTAAGAATTTCTGATGCCCTCTGCATTCGTTGCATTTACATCTGCTTGTAGATGTCTTTCAGAGGATGTCTCTTTGCTGCTAAGCCGTGACAGCTCCCTTGTTGGAGCCTGAAGGGCCCTGGGTAGGGATGGCTGGGCAGCCCTGATCCTTTTGTGCTGGGGTTAATGCGCATCTCCATTAGGCCATGAAAAGTTTGCAACCAACTTCTGCTCATCTTTGGTAACTCAGAGCAGGAGTCTGAATAATTGGCTCTCGAATAGCATTGCAGCTATAAAAATATGTATATTAAAACATGCTGGTTTATAGCTTTAACACAATATGGTTTGTGAAGCCTGGCCGTAAGTGATATTGCCAGTATTTGGCTTTCAAAAAGCAGAAAATTCTTCTCACATAGCAAAAGTAAAAGAATCACAGGGACTTCAGACTCCACTGAAGAGGTGGAGCCATTCTACTGGCTGGTTCCATCTGTCTGCTCAGGGTCTCAGCACCAGAAGCCTCAGTGTGTTGGCTGTATGGTTTCTTTGATTTTTGTGCTGTGATCCCAGTGTGTGCCCAGCCAACTTACACCCATTTTACAGGATGCTGCCCTCTTTGCCAGGAACGAGGGCATTTGTGGCACCCCTGGGCTGCCTTCTGCATTGCTTCCCTCCTTTTCCAGCACAAAGGGTTTCCCACCAGAGATGTGCAGATCCCAAATGAGACACTGTGGAGCTTTGTGATGGCTTATGGGCATGCAGGAGGAACCCATGCAGTGCACCAGCTCAATGAAGGGGACGGGCGAGGGCAATGTTTATTTATCTTCCTCATCTGGCTGGAGGATGTGTTTCAAAAGATGTGTTACAGAGATGGCAAGTTGTTTATTTTAGCATGTAAACTGCAAAAGATTGAAAGCCTGAAGGCTGGAGGTAACAAACCCACACTGTGCTGGGCTGGAGGAGCCAACCTGACTGCACTGTGGTCTCCCCCCAGCTCCCTGCCTGCTGCTGGGGCTCACAGCTCCTGCACAGCCTGGGAGTGGGATTTAAACCTACCTTGACATGTTTACATTTCTGAAAGCTTTGGAAAATAATCCTTTTTTTCTGAATTTCAGATTAATGCATAGAGTTGGCAGACTAAAATTTACAGCCATAGGTCACAACTTTTTAAATAGAAAAGGCTGGATCAGTGTTAAGATCTGACCCTGGCTGGCACTGCTCCTTCCTGGGTGTCTTTCCTGCGATGGATGTGTCTCCACTTTCTCTGAAAAGAACTCCAGTAGTTGCACAAACCCAGTGAAATGCTTTAATGTCTCCTGATTTTTCTAACAGGTGGGTCAGGGAGTTCTTGAATGAAGAAAACAAAGGCCTGGATGTACTGGTGGAGTACTTGTCGTTTGCACAGTATGCAGTCACGTGAGTAAGGCTTGCCTCTGCTGGAGCATTAAGGTCCCTTCCAAATTAAGCTCTCCCATGGTTCTGTGATCTTTAAGATCCCTTCCACCACAAGCCATTCCCTGGTTCTATGATTATATTTAAGGCCATTCTGACATGGATTTTAGCTTTGGAGCCTCCTCAGACTTAAGTTACAGTGGAAAACCAATTCAGGCACTGCCTGCTGTGCTCCAAGCCACATCCCCACCCTGACCACTCCCCACTTTGCCACTCTGACACCCGGCCAGCTCAGAGTTGGTCATTTAGGTAATAACAGATCATTAATACACTCTGCTAAAACAAATCAGGAGAAAATCCGTTTTCGTTAGTCGTTAGATCACAGTTTGAAATACATGCTCAGATGAGGATCTGGTTTTGTGTGTCTGCACATTTTCCTTTCGATATATTGGAGCAATAGCAATTTTTTATTACAAAATGTATGAAAATAAATGGTGAGTTAAAGATACCATTGTAGTTGGGAACTTGAGCAGAGCTGATGGTTTCTTTTTAAAACGATGCCATCAGATGTACATGTACCATCAGACAGAAATGAGATTCTTGGTGGAGCTGCAGTAAAATTAATGAAGGAAAATTATATGTTTCAAAACGTCCCTAACACTGGAAAATACTGCACAGCAAAAAGATGGGTTTGTATAAAGACTTTGTTCCTAAAATTATACGAATGCGTGCATGTTGTCCTGCTGGGTTTTTTCCCTCTCTAACGTGGTAAACATGAGTAATAACCTCAAGAGCTGCAAGGGGAACAAGCAGTTTTTCCTTGCAATAGCAGTATGGTGGGCACAGAGTCAGAAATCAAGGAGAATCTTCAGTGATGATGGTAATACATCACACATGCTTGAGGCTGGTGGGGGCTGATGGGCCGGTGTGAGCGCTCTGTAGGGGAGGAAACTGTACTTTTACAGCATACCCATTTATTAGAATAAAATGGAGACGACTTGGAGCGTTCTTCTTCTTTCCTTCAAGGCAAAGCTGTTCATCTGCACAGTTTATTTTACACTGAAGTACAATAACGCATGGCTGTTTGATCCTTCTGAGCTGTGGTTAGCTTCCCTCTTTTGGCAGGGGCCGAATTTGCTGCAGTGTGGATTTGAAGCTCGCTCTGAACTGCAGCTGAAGGGAAATTAGTCTGCATCGCTTTCTTCCTTTCTTTTCAGAGTCTTTAGGGAGCTACAAAATCTGCAGATGTTTAACAGGAAGGAAAACGCTATGTGCATCTTTGCCGTCTAACCCAGCTCCGACATTTCTATTTCCTTCAGGTTTGACTTTGAAAGCTTGGAGAACAACGTGGAAAACTCGATGGACAAGTCCAAGCCTTGGAGCCGCTCGATCGAGGACCTGCACAGGGGCAGCAATCTGCCCTCACCAGTTGGCAGCAGTGCGTCGCGCTCCGGCCGGCACTCCACGCTGCGGTAAGGCAGCGAGCCGTGCAGGAGGCCTGCAGGCACCCCGTGCCCGTGGGGCTTTCCGCTTACACTGGCTTCCATCTTCCCTCTTTGCACGGTGCAGGCTTGGCACATGTAGGAAGCTTGTCGTTGCAGTGATGGTTTTGAGGTGGAAGGAAGTGCTAAGCTCACAGCGCAGGGCAGCGATTGAGGAAGTCAGATGAGCGGTGCTGCCTGTTTCCAGTGGCTGAGTGGTTTAAGGATGCAGAATACGTTTCCATCAGGTCTGATGTGCCTTGCCCAGAGGAAGCACTTACTGCTCTCCAAACTGTGTGTCAGTGTTTCCATGGGCCCAGCCAGGCTGGAGCTCTGACCTGGTGCCACATTCAGTAAGGGCTCGTCCAAAAGCGTATCCAATCCATTCTGTGCTGAATAAGGTTTATTTGTTAAAGGCCGTTTCCATCCTTCAAACCTTCTGGTAACTCAAGCACCACATCAGGCCTTACTTTGAAGTCTTCCTTTTTGAATATTTGTTGGTGGGTTTTTTTTTCTTCTGGTTTGTAGATAAGGCAAGATCACTTCCCTGGAGTGAATGGCAGTCAGCTGTGTTACAGAACTTCATGTTCTTACAATTCCTCACTCCTACAAACCAGACTAACTAGCATTTATAGCAGCACTGTTCATTAGGGCTCCAGCTCAGAGTGCTGGATGGGACTTTCTTTATGCATGTTCTGACTCTGTGGGCTTTTGTAGAGCTTTGTTCCACGGTGCTGTGAGCACAAAGGAATCCTGCAGAGATGGAAGCAGTGAGCAGATTTTTGCTGCCTTCCAGCCCAAGCTCAGCTTTGGTTTGTCACTGCTAACATGGGCTGTGTGTTTTGTGTTCAGGACTGCTACCCATAGCTGAATAGTGATGGATGTGGTATCTGGAAGGTATCAAAGGCATCAGGGAGAAAGCAGAGAGGAGGAGGTAGGCACGCAGTGCTGGCAAAAGGATGTGAGCTGTGGAGTGCAGCAGAATCAGTTGAGTTGTTTTTATTTGATGCTGCAAAGGTGATTTCAGTGCTGTTGGTGTACTGTGATCTTTATGTACTTCAGCAGAGGAGGTATGGCCTTATGTTTGCAGGAGGGGGCCTGATGCTGCTCTCTGTCTTTGGGAAGCATGTCAGTGGTTCATTGTGCCAGAAATGCACGTCAGCTATGCATTACATGTCTCTTACATTTTTTTCTCTTCGTTTCCTTCCACCTTTTTTCTTTTTTCACATCCCCCTCTTACCTTTTTTTATTTTCCATTTCCACATCCCCTTCCTTACATCCTCCTTTCCCCTCCCTCTTCCAAACCTCCCTTCCCAACTCTTCCTTCTGCATCCGTGACCCTCCTGCCATCACGTGCCATCAGCATGGTCTCCCTACCTGAGCAGCTTCAGCTCAAACACCACCAGAGCTGCTTTTCTTCCAGCTGTCTCTGGAGCGGCTTCGCTTGGCGCTCTGCTGATGGGGCCTCGAGCCAGAAAACCTTGTAAGTGCCAGGGTGACACTTCATGGGGCTGCCCCTTGTGTGAGGCCCTGTGATGCTCCCATGCCTTATAGTCCCATAATCACACTGCGTGGGGAGCAGCCCTGAGTGCTGGGGAGCCTCAGCCTCCACGCCGTGTGCTTATCAGCATTGTAGCTTCCTGCTGTAGTGGGCTTAGCTAGGAGGGAATAAAGCACGTTTTACTTTGAAACAAGGTATTAGTTTGCTTGTAGTATTGCAAAAAGTGTTATCCCTGAGACACCCAGCTTTAATTGTTGTGTGCCTTGGTTAATGTTTTAAATAGAGCTGCTGCTGAAGTGTTGGCTCACTCTTCGATGTGGGCAGGGGCTGCTGGGCTGGGGGTGACCTGGGCTGGGGCCCCAATGGTGCCCAGCACTGTGAGATTCTCTGACAGCACTACTTTGTGTTGCCTCGTTGCACGAAGGCCTGTGTTCTGCAGGAGGTGGCTTTTCTGTGAATGGGGGCTATGTATGATTGGAAAAGTAAAAGCACGGGGTGTTTTTAAGAGTTATTTTTTAATAATTTTTTGATGAATTTATAAATACTGTGTGCTACACACGCATCCCAAATTAAATGCTGACATTTGGTTTGAACAGACACGTTTTGGGCTGTCTTTAGCACGTGGTTCTCTCAAGTTGCTGCCTGTCTGCAGTGTCACAGCGCTGCTCTCTGCCTGCCTGCAGCTGCAGTCACTGCAGCCCTTGGGATGTGTGCACACAGAGTTATGGTAGCAGGTGATGAGCACAGAATCACTCTTGGAGTGCTGGGCAGGGCTGCATCCTTGCATGCTTGCAAGCGACTCAGCTTTGTTGCAGCAAATGGTTCCCTTGCAAGTAGCCATGCCATGGTGCCCCGCTGCAAAATCACAGAATCACAGGGACCTCAAGGATCACGAAGCTCCAACGCCCTGCCACAGGCAGGGCCACCAACCTCCCCATTTCATAGCAGCCCAGGCTGCCCAGGGCCCCATCCTACCTGGCCTTGAACACCTCCAGGGATGGACGGGGCATCACAGCCTCTCTGGGCAGCTGTTCCAGCACCTCACCACTCTCATAATAAAGAACTTCCCCCTGACATCCAACCTCAATCTGCCCTCCCTCAACTTCAAACCATTTCCCCTTGTCCTGCTGTTATCTCCCCTTTCCAAGAGTTGATTCCCCTCCTGTTTATAGGCTCCCTTTGGATACTGATAGATCCCTTTAGATACACCCTGCAGCCTTCTTTTCTCCGGGCTGAACAAGCCCAGCTCCCTCAGCCTGTCCTCATAGGGGAGGTGCTCCAGCCCCCCTGGATGTGGGGTGTCCTGTGCAAGGTGCCTTCTGCCAAGTGCAGAGTGCCTTGTGCCAGGTGCCCTGCTGCAGAGACAGGTGCCCACACAGAGAGCCAGGTGCCCTGCAGCACAGCCCTTCTGGAGCCTTTCCACCCATCCCTTTGCAGGACTGGCTCTCCGTTTTCAATCTGTAACTTTTCTTGACTTCCTGGAGCTCTCGTTAGCAGTGTTAGACCTTGCCAATTCCCTGCTCCATGTTTCCTTGGCAACCGAGATTTTTTTTTTCAAGAAGAGGCACAGGGATTTGGGAGGCAAACACCAAAATGAGGGCAGAAGAATAAAAAATGGGGACGAATCTTAGGGGATTTTGTTGCTGCTTTTTGGGAGTGAGAAGAGCAGTACTTTGACATGAGAGTCAGACTTTCCTTTTGGATAAATATTCATACAGACTTAGCAGTGTCCCAGCCCATTAGAAATTCCCTTTCTTCTGAGTCAGATATTTCAGTTTTTATGTGGATTCAATTCAGAAACTTCATTTTTTTTTTTTAATCCAAAAATAGGCTTTGAGCGCACTGAAAAATTGGACTCCCCTTTGGCACTGCTTCTTATGCTGCATGTTTGCATCTGAACACTTCCATTAATGCTGTGCAGCTGCATCCCTGTGTCAGGCTCTGTGCACTGCTGCTGGCTCTGTGCTGGTGCAGTGGCTGGGGAAGGAGGGGGAATCCAAAGCAGGCTGTCCCTATTGCTTTTCTGGCTTTTTCGAAGCAGCAAAGTTCTCTGCAGCTCTCCGGATGGATGACTTTCCCAGATTCCATCAGATAAGACAAAAACTGGAGGCTCAGGGTCATTCCTTCTCTTCACATCTGTGGCTCAAAAACCTTGTTGCCTTGGTTTGGAATGACAGAAGGGAAAATTTTGGGCACCGTGGCCGCCTGCTCTGTCACCCAGCGAGTTTGTGCCCTGACTGCAGCACAGTCCTTGTGGGGGCCCCAGGAGGCCCCGTGCATCCTGCACAGAGTGCAAGCTCAGGATCCCCACAACCAGCAGACCCATCTGCAAGAGAGATCCCAAGTGTGCAGCAAACAGCAGGGCTTCCCCCTTTCAGAGCCCCCGTCTGCCATCAGAACAGCGTCCTATTGCAAACACCTCCAAAACCCCAATGGAACCAGGAGTCCCACTGCATGCAGGTCCACTCTGCTGGGCAGGGTGGCAGGGGGGATGGTGCTGGGCAGCAGGGAGTAAGGTTGGGGTGCTGGCAGAGAGCTGCAGGAGCTTTTGTTTGCTGTGAATGCTGTGCAGTGGAGCTCTGTGCCATGGGTTGGGTGCATGTCCTTGTCCCCTGCATGGAGGTCCCCTCAGAGCTGCCAGAGGTGGCAGCAGCTTGGTTTGAGCTGTGTGCACACTTACCGTGCTGGGAAGGGCTTTACTTGGAGCATCCTCATTTGTGTAGGTGTTTTAATGAGCTGTACGTGGGCCTTCAGCATCCACATGAGCTGTTCTGCACTCTCACACGTTGCATTTCAGTACAACTGATGAACTAGTTCTTCCAGAGCAGCCTGGGCGAGGAGGAGGACCCGGCACAGCGTTTCAGCCTGCCTCGATCCTCTCCTGGCGGTGCTGCTCCCACGTGGCTGCTCTGTCCCCCTGGGGAGCCCTGGGTGCCAGCACAGCCCGGCCCTGTCCCACCGCCTGGCACTGCGAGGTGTGACGCAGCCACACGTGGTTGGGTTTCTGCTGCTGCTGTTTTCAGAAGTAGGGTTTTATAGTTCTCCCTTAAAGGAGGAGCGGAGAAAACAAAAGCGGAGCCATCTGAATTGAATTAGCAGAATAAACACGCTCTTGGTGACGCATCTCTGACCTGCAGCAGGCAGGAAATCAGAAGCAGCAGCTCGCCCAGATGCTTGATGTTTGCTAGCAAGAAATGGAGTGAAGGCAGATCGTCCACACTGTGTGAAGGGAGGGGGTGGGGACTCCTGCTGGCCTGTCCTGCCCAGGGAGGGAACAGGCCCAGGGTGTTGCAGTCAGCAACAGAAAGCATCACAGTCCCTGATCCCATCATCGTAAAAGGGTTTCTGCACAGAAAATGTCCATCAGTTCCTGGCACTCGTGCCTGTGAGAAGAAATTTGCATCTGTTCAGGGAAACCTAGCTAAATGTAGGGCAGAATCCTGTCTGTGCTGGGGATGTTTTGTCTGTGCTGCAGCTCTCAGTTGCAGATTGCATGTGGGTTTCTCAGCCCTGCCACACAGAGGCATGGATGGGCACAGGGAGTGTTGCCTGTTTCCCAGCCCCGGAGCAGGAGGGTGGCTTTGATGGGCACTGGGCTGGAAATTGCAAGCTGCAGCTTCATGCTTGATTCTCTTGGCTGGTGGAGCCCAGCTCCCACGTGGTAAGTATGTGAAGGCACTCTGAAATGGGGGGAGATGGTGCAGCAGACACAGAGGAGGCTCTTTTCTTCTTGATATAGATCTCATTGCTCTGCTTATTAAAATTTGAAAGAAAGTAATGTATGCAGCCTTTAGCAGTTCCAACCTGAGATAAGCCATTATAGCAAAGAGCTCTGTAGACTGCAAAAGGCTTTCCATCTTTTTATCAAGGCACTTTTCATATTTAGGGAGTTGCCTGTGGAAGTAATGGGTTGTGCTCACGTGCTGTGCAGCTGTGTGTTGACACCCAGGAGTTACAGGCAACTCAAGAGGCTGTCACCTGAGCAATATTCCCCCAAGTACAGGTGTAGGTAAGCCTTCCTTAGCTCTGCTCCTCACAGTGTGGGTTAAAAGGAAAATCCCATCCATCTGCAGAGAATTGCACTGGAGGATCTGCAGGTCCCTTCCAACCCCTGTGATTCTGTGATTTGGTGAATTGATGCTTGAGGTTTTTCTGTGTCAGTTCTGGGAATGCATTGTGGTTTTGGGGACAGCTGGAGGGAAGGGCCCATAGCAGCACCAGTGTGCCTGCTCCTGCAGCATGCAGCTGGGGCTCCTTGGCCATCCCTGATCCCACAGGGAGCAGCAGCACAAAGCATCCAAGCACCCCAATGGTTGGGATGGGATAGGACAAGAGGTAATGGCCTCAAGTTGTACCAGGAGAGAGTCAGGTTGGTATTAGGAAACATTCCTTCTCCAAAGAGCAGTCAGGCAGTGGCACAGCTGCCCAAGGAGTGGGGAGTCACCATCCCTGGGGGTGGCCCAGAGCTGTGGGGATGTGGCACTGAGGGACGTGGGCAGTGGGCATGGGGGGGTGGGGAGAGTGGTTGGGTGTGGGGATCCAAAAGGGCTTCTCCAACCTTAATGATTCTGTTATGGGACACACTGCAGGCAGCTTGGTGCGAGGCTGCTGGCCCCATAGAGCCTTCCCTGACACAGGAGGGAGCGAGCAGCAGGGTAAAGCCAGCGCCTGTGGGGTTTCGTTCACCAAATCCCAAGGTACCCAGATCTTCCCTGCATCAGTCCCCTGCTCCCAGCTCACTGCCTCCCCTGTGCCTGTGCTGGGCTCCTTGGGACTCGCTGGCAGTATGCTGAGTGCTCTCAGGGGCTCAGGCAAAACTGGGTCGAATTTCCCACAAACCCAAATCGTTCTGGAGTGCCCTGAGCTGATTTATGCATTCATGTCTATGGGAAAGAAAAAAAGCTGTTTGACTGAATCCTGCTTTGAATTTTGGGGTTTCTTTCATGTCTGTGCTGCTGGGGAAAGAAGGCAAAGTGCGAGCACAGCTCTGTGCAGGCCAGGCTGGTTCTGTGCTGTGCTGGAGCTCCCTGTGCTTCCCCTTTCCTGCCCTGTTACTGCTTGTTCCTGTGTCTATTATTAACCTTGGCTATTAATAATGATGTTAATCATTGATTTTAAAGCTACACTTCTAAGCAAAATGAGTAGCATGAATGAAGCAAGTGAGTGCACAGCAGCATTGGCAGTAAGGGGATTGTTTCTCTTCTGGTATATTCTTCCATCTTCCATCTCTGGCAGTTCAGATTTAATTCTCCCAACCTAAGGATGATTATCTGTCAGCCCATCCTGTGTTCATAGCTCCCAGTGGCTTTTTCCTTTGTGAATCAGCCCGAGTGCTTTGGCAGCGCTCTGTGGAGCCATACAGTGAGCAGGTTTGCTTTCATCCCATCACCTGGGAATGGCATCTGATGCCACTTGGTTCCCACATTGCAAGTCATAAGGGGACAGCTCCTTCCCCATGCACTGCCTGCACGTTGCCCACACTTGCATGAATGCAGCAGCTCTCTCTGCCTCTTCCAGCAGAGAAATCCACGTCAGAACTCAACTTGCCCTGCTTTGGAACGTTTGCAGCTGTGCTCTGGGTCACTGCTGGGTACCAACATTGCATTTCATTTGCAACATTGCTTCATTTGCACCACATCATGGCTGGGGATGTGGTCATAGCTAGGGATACTGAAATCCCCAAGTTTTTTCCCATATTCAACACAAGAGAAGCCCTCCTCTTTAATAGGACAGAGGTGATGGCCTCAAGTTGTGCTAGAGGATGGTCGTGTTTGGTGACAGGAAACATTTCTTTCCCAAAGAGCAGTCAGGCAGTGGCACAGCTGCCCATGGAGTGGGGGGTCACCATCCCTGGGAGTGTCCCAGAGCTGTGGGGATGTGGCACTGAGGGACGTGGGCAGTGGACATGGAGGGGAGTTAGGTTTGGCCATGGGGATCCTACAGAGCTTTTCCAGCCTTAATAGTTCTAAGACTGCTGTGGTTGTTGCCCAGGCTGCAGAGTGGCACTGGTGGGGTGAAGCTGCGGTTGTCTGAAGTAGCCTTGGCTTTACCAGTATTTACTGTGCCAGTCAAGTTTCATCTGCAGATTTCTTTTGTGTAACAAATGCCAGAATTTGCAGAGCTCTCAGCTGCACATGCGTCATGCTGCTTTCCTTTCTGCCTGCCTTTCAGCAGAATTTTATGCTTGCTTCCTCGGCTTTCAGTTCAGAGTGTGACAATTTGCAGTGTGTCGGCGCCTTGCCCCTCTGCTGGGCTGCAGCTGGGGACATGCAGGACCAGCCTCAGGCTCTGTCACTTTGTTCTCACCTCTCTCTTACATAGGAGTAAGTTAGGATTAAAAATTTGCTGCTTATTCAACGCTGTACGTGGCTGTAAGAATATACATGTATTTCATATGGCAGCCTGTCTCCTTGTCTCCAATTTCCTGTGCTCAGCTCACAAAACATGGTTTTCCTTAAAGAAAATAAGCAGCATCTTGGGAAGAGCTGAAATGTGGGTTTCATTTACTATGTCATAGAAGCAGCAGATCGGAAGATTTCCCTTTGTTTTATTCCATGTACTTACTGAGTTGAACTCAAGGTTGATTTACCAGCTAGGGGTTGCAATTAGGATAATTAATGCCTCTGTTTGGGGACAGTTCCTAAAGGCTGGGTTTCCTCAGTTTGGAGAGCTTTCAGGAAGCTCAGCTGCAGAACAGAATAGAGGCACAGTTCTTCGTTCTGTCGGGATGCTCTGCACTTCCTTGATGTCTGCTGCTTGGATTTTCCACACAACTGAGAAGTGTGTGCATTAAACCCAGTGGAGGAATATTCCCATTCCTTTCTTCCTCCCACCTAAGAATAGCCCTGTGACTGATGGAGGCTGTTTCTGTTTGCAGGTACAATACTTTGCCGAGCCGAAGAACTCTAAAAAATTCCAGACTAGTGAGTAAGAAAGACGACGTTCATGTCTGCATCATGTGTTTGCGTGCCATCATGAACTACCAGGTATCGCCCTTTTTGTTCTTCTGGCCCGCAGCGCCGTTGTTGTTGGGGGGAAAGGTTAGCTGCACATGATTCAGGTGAAACTGATGTGAAGGATGAAATTCTTATTGTCAGACAGCATAGCTGGGAGCTGCCTGGCACAGTCCTCATGCACCCGCACGGTTGGCACACGTGAGGACACAGATAAGAGCACACGCATGCTCCTGTTTGCAGTGCTGGGCTCTGTTGGCACTAACTCATTGGACGTGCACCTGCACGATAACTGCTGTCAGAATTTAGCATTAACCTGGAGGAAATAGGAGGATTTTTGAAGTGTTCTTGTTAGACATTGGTGGGAAAGAGAAGATTTCACTTTGCTGCATGTCAATTGCGAGACGGTTGTGATAACTGCGAGTCCAAGAATAAACTGCACCGAACTAATTGCGTTTCCATGAGTTTCTTCTCTCCTTGGAGGCGTGCTGTGGTCACATGGCATGCTCGGGTAGCTTCTGAGATGCTGGATTTCTTGCTAAACCAGTAACAGCTAACAGTTATGTGCTTCAAGGAAAGCCTGGCATGAGTTGTGTGACCTTACAGGGGGCTTCTGGCACTGCTGCACGGGAGCTCTGACAGAGCTCCCTACCTCTGATGGGAAGGTGGCAAGCAACAGTGCAGTTGTGGTAATAACCCATGCTGTGTTTTCCAAAGCAGTTCCTTTCTTTGGTTTTGGAAGCAGACCCAGCAGGACTCACGCAGTAGCTGCATGCAGCAGTTGCTCCATGGCAGCATGCATGTTGTAGAAGTGATTTTGGCAGCTGAGCTGCACATTGCCTGTTAGAGAGGAAATGGCATGCTTGGCTGTCAATGTTAACAGTGTTGGGGAAGGACGGGCAGAGGGGCTGGCAGTGGGGTGGGATCAGCCCTGGGACCCTTTTGTATGGCCAGGCCGAGCGCTTTGGGCACGGTGGTGACAGGGGAGCTGATGGGCATGGTGTGAGATAGGAGTGTGCTGAGTGTGTCTTGGTGATTTCAATAGCCAGATCCGGTCAGACACGGGTAATTTGCTGGGATTTAAAACTAATCATTTCAGTTTCATAGCAGAAACGATGTTTTCCTCTTCTCTTTTCAGTATGGATTCAATATGGTCATGTCGCACCCGCACGCCGTTAACGAAATTGCACTAAGCCTGAACAACAAGAATCCCAGGTAGGCTGCGCTTGCCGTTAGAGAGTTTAAGAAGCAGGAAAGTGAAGAGTAGAAGGATATTCATGGATTTATGTACAAAGCTGCAGCGAAAATCAGCCTTTGCTCTGACTCAGATTCAGTTTGTGTTGCAGTGCAGTTAGATGGGCGATTGCCGTTTGGTTCCGTTGGTCTCAGAAGCTGCTGACTGTGCAGCTCTGCCTTTGCTGCTCAAGCTCAACTGCTGCTGCAGTGGAGAGGAGACCCTGCTGATCAGGAGCAGCTCTGCATGGGGTTTTCCTGAGGAAACTAAATTTTCTGCAGTAAATTTTGTTGAAGCCACCTTCAGGTTTGAGCTCCTCTAAGAGCACATTTTGTACTCGTTCTGCCTCTGTCCAGTGACTGACTAAGTGCCAGGTGTTTCTTTAACCACAGCAGCAGTCCTGTAATCACACTGTAGAACTGATTGCTGCAAGGTTATATCCCCTCTCCTCGCTGAACACATTTGTGAGCTGGCACCTACATCCAGCCAGACCTGGAGTTACAAGCATCCCATATACCTGATGATGCCAGAGCTGAGTTCTGGTGTTTGCTAGGGAACGGAAAAGCAGGGATGAGAGAAAACTAAACTGCACCATATAGAGAGAACTCCCTTTCCTGGGCTGCCTGCTTGCTGTGCAGTGTACTGCTTGAAACCTTGGCCTGGTGGAAGTGGGTCCTTCCTTCCTCTCTGCTATTTAGGCTTAAGTCAGCAAGCATAGATGGGAAGGATACAGGAAGTTTGTTGTGATCATTTGTGGTGTCCTGTGTCTGCAAATCAGGTGATTAAGGGATGAATGATGCCAGCACAGCAGTGTCCTGTCCCATCCCTGCCCCATCACAGATGCAGCAGGGGAGTGGGTGCTGCACCTGATGCTGAGACCTGGGCATCCTCCTGGCATCTCTGTAGGTCACAGCCCTTAGAGGATGTTGCCAGTGGGCCATAGGGAGAGCTCCACAAGCCTGTCTGAAAGAGCTTGGGTTTTCTTCTTGTGGCAGGACAAAAAAACGGATGAGTAAGAATTGAAAGTGATCGGTGTAAAATTTCCTGGGGAAGTGAACATTTTATCTGGTTTCCAAAGATAACCTTGACACTTTGAAAGCTAAAAGGTATTTCTTTTTCTGCAACATCTGGTTTAATGCTCAAGCATGAGACTAATTTCATGTGTGTCTGCATGGTTTCAGTATCTGCTCCCAGCTCATCTGGCTGTAAGATCCCATTGGTGCTTTTGCCTTATGTGAACTCTGTAAGAGAGAACTGGGGATTATTTATGTCAGAGCTACACGAAGAGTTGCATGCTTTTCTTTCAGCAGTCAGTTGTATCCTCCCCTCCCTGATACGCTGTGTTAGCTGTCAGTCAGCACCCAGATTTCAGATGCTGGAGGGGGAGGTGTGCTAAGGCACCCTGCTTCACTTCAGCAAACCGCGTCTTGCATTTTTTGTGGCTGTGAGTAACACAACTTGTCACAGAGAATAACTGAGATGTGCATCAGGGCAGGGCACATAGACCTAAAAGCCCTGGCCACAGAGGGGCTGAGGCATGGGCTGCTCCTAGCAGCGATGCATGGACCACATGGGGCCCCCTGTGCCTCCCCCTGTGGGTTTGTGCAGGAGAGCTCCCACAGTGCCAGCTGCCAGGCTGATGCAGACACCGTTGGTTTGCTTGGATTTCCTCAAGTACAATTTGTGATGTAAATCTGTGCATCTTTTGGGAAGTATTAAAATGGGGGAGAGTTGCACGATCCCGGGAGGCTCAAACCACCCTGGATCAGACACTGCTCTGCATTCTGTGTCCTGCAGGTTTGCTTGTCTCAAGAGGCTGAACCACTGGATGCAAAGTACTTCTCCCGGTGCCTGCACAGCACTTTGCAAACAGGTAGAAGGTATTCCTCACCAGCTCGTCACTGACTGCTTTGGCTTGCTTTCTTTGCAGGACAAAGGCCCTTGTCCTCGAGCTCCTGGCTGCTGTTTGTCTCGTCAGAGGAGGTCATGAGATCATTTTGTCTGCATTTGATAACTTCAAGGAGGTACGTGTTCTGCTTGGTCAGAATTTCGTGTGTGTGTCTCTAGTTCTCCTAGCTCTCAGGTAGAGCTTTTGTGTTCAGCTCCATTTCTTAGACTGAGGGTTTTCCATAAGCTGCAGATTTTCCATGCATAGACATCAGCAGTGTCTGTGCCATCGTTTTCCGTGCTGTTGTGTTCTAGAGCTGTAATCCCAGCAGGGTGAATCCTGTCTGTGAATTGCTCCTTCTCCCTTTGGCCAGTTGAGCTGTGTCCCTGAATGGGAAAAGGAATGGAGATTTGGAGAGCTTTACTGCAGGTCTAACTGAATGTGTTTGTATGTTTTTAGGTGAAATAACTGGAATTGCTGTGTAGATCCTCCATTTTCAGGGCCGTCTACATAAGCCTTTGAGATGCAAAATTCCTGTTTTTTTTTTTTAATCAGTAAAATTTTTATTTATAAGGAAATTCAAAAATCAAGTTTCTGTATCCCTGTCTGCTGAAATTAACACAAGCATTCTGGTTTGTTCAGCTGGTGCAAAGCTGTCCTTTGTGTCTGCATACATCCAAGTGTATCACGTTTGCATACAGTGGTTAATGGGACTTGAGAAGGTTGTATTCAGAATTACTGGTGTGGGAATGCAGCCCAAGCAAGCTGTGGTTCCAGTTGTTGTGGATATTGGGTATAGGTGTGGATTTATTATCAAAGGGAAAATGAATCTAGTCGTACCAGCTCCAAAATGGTTAAACTTGATGAGTCCAGGCTGGACTGTGTATGAACATGCAGCAGCTATTTCCTTATTGCCGTTGCTGCCATAGGTGGTTGGTGCAGATGATCAACAAGCCAAGTTGTTTCTTTTTTTCCCCTTCTTTTTATGTTTTGGGAGTTGCTTCTGGTGGAGAGATACCAATCTCTGTTTTACATCTGCTGTGTTTGCCCAGCACACGTCCCCGCTGTAGCTGTGGTGCTGGGAGGATTGGCAGCACATGGAGATGGAGCAGAGCGTCGTCACCAGGGTGTGCTGGGCTGCAGCCTCAGCTTGGTGGGACCTGCCCAGCAGGGAGTGTGAAAATAAGGCATTCAGTTTCCAATAGGATAAGGTCTGCAGGGCTGGAGCTTGGAGTTACAGTTTGTTCCTCCTTTGGTTTATCCAGTGGCAGTCTTGGGCAGAAATTCTTACGTAGCCCCATCAGCTTGTCTTGCAGTATTGCTCTGTTCTGTTGCTGCTGGTGCCTGGTTGGGCTGTTGGTTGTGGAACTGCTGGATGGAGCAGGAGAAGCAGCTGTGCAAGGAGGGGAATTCCACCTTTCCAGTTTCCTCCTTCAGCTCTTCTGCTGTTTACCCAATTGTTCTGCTCATTCTCACTGTGTACTGTTGTTTTCCCATTTCCTCCTGGGCAACCTTCAGTATTAGTTTCAAGCATGTTTTAAATTCATTCCCGTGGCACTGGGATGTGGTCAGTGTGCACAGTGGGGTGGGATGGCAGTTGGACTTGGTGATCCTACATGTCTTTTCCAGCCTTCATGGTTCTGTAGCTGGAATACTAAGGACCTCCAAGCAGCCTAGGCTGAAGGTTGTGTTTGCAGGTTTCCATGAGCCTGTATTGCAGTGTCCCTTCTTCCTTCATCCCAGCCACTGGGATGGTCAGACAGGATCTCTGCCACCCTATCTCCATGCCATGAAATAACTTCAAAGGAAGCCAAACTCCTGTCTCATGCTCACCCTGCAATAAAGTCAAGAGGAAAACAGGATACTTCAGACCAAATTCAGCTCTCATTTGCATCAGGGTGAACATCAAATATTTCATTAGGCTTTGAGCTTTGCAGTGATGTAAATGAGAACAGAATTTGGTTCTCAGGGTTTGACTGAGCTGGGAAACCACAGCTGATCTGAGTCTTGTTGAGGACTCGTTTTGAAAATGGCTTTTCCTTTGAAAATGATTTGATGGGCCAGGTTTTTTCTGTCTGGGGTCAGGATGTTCACATGGGTGATTTTACTTCAGGTGTCTCTTGAAAGGGATTCACTTACTTGAACTGAAACCCTCAGTTCTGGAGTGCAGGGACCCAGCTCTGCGCTGCCCTGCGCTCTCTTTCCAGTAAATAACTGGGATGATGTTGGAAGGGTCCTTTCTGGAAATGGAAGCACCTGGATATCTTGGAGCCGCCAGGAGTGTGTGACAGCCTGGGAGCTCGAGGGGGTATTTGGTACAGAAGATCCCAATGGGGGAAAATGCTGAACGGATGTAAGTAATGGGAAATGGGATCCGGGTGGGAAAGAGTAGTTTGGGGCAGAAGAGGTGGGAGCTGGGTGATGCTTGGCTGAATGCTGCTGCCTTTTTGGGAACAGTGAGGAGTTCTGTGTCGCACATAACCCATGGTGAGGGCCAGGGCCAGTCCTGTGCCCTGCTGTGTCTGTGAGCTGCTGGCCCCATGCTGGTGCTCCCTGCAGCCCCTCCTCCCAGCACTGAAGCATAACTGTGTGCGTGGCTGTGGCAGCTTGGGCTGCCCAAGCTATTCAGCCCTGCCACCACCCCTGCATTTACTCACTTGCAACTGGGCTTCCTTAGCAATATTCCTGGGTCCTTTGTGCTTGTTTCCATGGATCTGTGAGAACTGGCTACACCATTTTATCCGAGTTGCCTGGGATTTGTGTCAGGGGATGAGCAAATGCACTTCAGCAGAATGCCTGGGGGAAAATGAGGAGAGTTAGCCTTAGGATGGCTTTGCAGGAGCTGTGGGTCACAGAGAAGATGCCGAGAGCCTAAGCCCCATTTAAATTGAAGTGGGCTGAGTGCACTGTTGGAAAACAAGATATATTTTCCTAGTGCTTATTCAGAGGAGTAAACTCATTTTAATAGTGTGAGTGTACATGTGGTCATACAGAGAACACAGCTGCTGTTTCTTACTGCTGGCTTTGCTTTGCTGTTATATCATTACTTGCTGCCGTGCCAGGGTGGTGTGGGGCCGTATGGCTGTGGGCATTGGGTGCTTCATTGTGCTGACGAGCCTGCAGTGGCCATCAGGAGCTGTGGGAGCCTCGTGGTGCTCATATGCAGCCCCTCATCACCTCTGCTTGCTGCACACAGGCACTGCTTCGTGTACCACATGTCTGATCTGGGGTGCAGAGAAGGCAGCATCCCAAAGCTGTCCAGTTTTGCCATCATCAAAATGTCTTTCTTTCCACTGTTGCCTTCTCGAGGAAGGATGCTGTCTTGTTGATGAGATTGTGCAACTTGAGAATGTCATTTAATCTTCGGTGCCATGGAGCAGATTCTGCTGAAGCACCTCTGTGCAGAGAATAGATTGCACAGGAAACATCTGGCTGCAGTTGGTGCTTGCTGGAAGGTGAAGGTTACACTGAGCTGGGAATCACAGTACCATCGAGTAATTAAGGCTGGAAAAGACTCTAAAATCTCCAAGCCCAGGTCACTCCATCACCACTGTGCCCACTAAGCCATGTCCCTAAGAACAGGAGAGTATCCAACCTGCAGTTCCCATGTTCTGCAGTGAGGTGCAGGTGCCCATCTCCCATTCAGACAGCACTTCCACCCCCGGGGGCTGTGGCTGGGGCAGCCTGCATCCTGCCAGGCCTCCATCCAGGGGGTGTGAAGTGAGTGTGGGAACGTGTTGCCCCTCATGCAGGGATCCGAGAGGGCTTCTCCAGCCTTTTTTGTTTCTGTGATGCTGTGATCAACATATATCTGTGTATATGTCAGTGGATATATATGCACCTCTGACTATTGGGTTAGCTTTAAGGACCTTGTGCTTACAGAGGAGTCTGGGCATGAGAACTGCTAAGAGCATCCAGAAATAGAACTAACAAAAAATTCTCATTAAATGAAACTTACATTTGCAGGCTCAACGACCCTTAAAAGCTGTTTTCCTATTATTGTGGCTCTTCTTCCATATCTTTTTTCAGCATTTCTAATTGCTGTCTTATTTGTATGCTTTATAACTCTTCTACTAAAGGTGCAGTACCCAATAGATGAATGACTTGAATACATTTACAGATATGATGAGAAAAATCCCAATCCAACAGCTCTAATGAGATTGCATAATGGAAAGGGTTACAAAGAAATTGTGGGTGTTTTGTTTTTTTTTTTTTGTTTGCAAATATAAATTCCATTTTTGTGAAGATCTGAAAGTGACATTTTTTGCACAGCACTCTGAATTGCATTTTGTGAAGCAGAATCTTCCATCCTTACTCAGCTTTTCATTAATCTCCATTTGAAATGCAGAATGTACTTTAATAACAAGTAAGCTTTTCTGAGGGAGGAGCAGAGGTCTCTACCACTCTTCTGTTTCTCCCTTTGCAGTAGGCATAATGGTAGTTTTAGAACAGATCCAGGAGGAAGAAGAGTTGTCTGCGATGTGCTGTGAGACAGAAGGGCTGTGAGCAGTCCTGACTCCCTGCAGGAAGCACTGCCTGCTTTGGCTTCAATCCAGCAAAGCAGCTAAATTGATTATTATGTAAGCATTTACCAAAATAATCGCATTTGGAAAGGTGAGGGTATGCTTGTGTGCTTCTCCTTATGGGAAGTAATTTTAGTACATCAAAATAGAACACGGGTGCTTTTCCTAAGATGGATTGTATTTCTCACGAGACCCCTCATTTTGCTGCAAGACAAGAGAAAATGCCAAAAAGACACTTGGAATTCAGATAATCCAGTGAGCTTTAGGGCAGCTCATCCTTTGGTGGCTGTCCAACATCTGTGCTCTGCAGAGAAGAGTCGGCGTCGTTCCTTGGGGAGCTTGGGATCAGAGAGGAGCAGGCCTGGAATGCCCTCTCGTTTAACACCACTTTGATTGACTTGTGCACTACCTGACAGGTGAGAAGAACTCACACTGTCTGCTTATGGCTCTGTGTGCACGCCGTGGCAGGTGGGTGTGAGTGGCTGTGCAGTGAGCTGAGGCATGGCCCAGGAGCATTGTTTGCCTCCCTGTAGTCACTCCGGCCAAGTGAGACCATGTTGTTCAGCCCTAACTTTTCACAATACCTAATTCAGTCACATTTCCCTGTTGAATAATGACTGACAGCAGTGAAAGCAGCAGTTCTGAATTATTCTTCCTGACCATTGTAATAGCCCAGCGTGAGAAGAAACAGTTTGCAAGCACTGGAAAATGTAAATACGTTTGTTGTCTTTTCCCCCCCAGCAGTATTTTGAGAGCCTTAACCCTGCTGGTAGAGGAGTACAAGGTATTTTAACCTAGTAAGCATGAACAACTGTTTACTTAACCAGTAACTTAGGAGAAAATTGCTTTGTTGTTCTTCAGCACGCTGCAGAAATATCAGCAGCATCAGTCAAAACAAAGTGCCCTGTGAGCACTGCCTGCCTGCGGAGGGGCTGCTGCCCACAGAGGGCTGTTGTGGGGCAGAGAAAGCAGGCATTGTGCTGCTGGGACAAAGCAGTGCAGGCAGGAGGAAAGGTTTACAAAGGCTCTGGGAATTTTGGGGCTGCATATCCATCAGGCTGTTCATAACACCGTGTCCAGCATGGGCTGTGTGCTGTGCTGTGTGTGTCTGCAATGGGAAGGGGCTGCTCTCAGAAGCTGGGGAAGGAGGAGGGAGCAGCTTGAAGTGACCCTGGGCAGCACGTGGGTAGATGGCTGTTCTATGTCATAAAATGTCTTGTACCTAAGCCCCTGCTAAAGGTTACGTGCTTTAAATCCCTCAGAGGATTGTTCCTCTCTGGCTCGAGGTCCTTTGCTGTGTCACACCATACTCACCTCAGTTGTAAATGCAGACAGAATGATTTCATTTTCTGTATGGACTTGAGGCTGTCAGCTGGTGAAGGGGTATAGAGTCCTTCCTTAGCAGACTTGGTGATGGCATGGTGCTGGGAGGAGTGGCTGATGCACCAGAGGGCCGTGCTGCCATTCAGTGAGACCTGGACAAGTAGAGAGGAGCCTGATGAGGATCAGCAAGAGCCAGCGTGGGTTGTGCATCTGAGGAGGAACAGCCACACACATCAGTATGGGTACCAGGCTGAGCTGCTGGAACGGAGCTCTGCAGAGAAGGACCTGGATGTCCTGGTGGCCAGCAGGCTGACTGTGAGCCAGCAGTGTGCTAACTACAACAGGGAAAGTTCCATACAAACATGAGGATAAACTTCTTCACCTTATGGTGGCACAGCTGCCCAGAGAGGTGAGGATTCTCCTTCTCTGGAGATACTTGTACCCACCTGGACAGTGTATGCAGCTGCTGTAGGGAACTGCTGTGGGCTTGGGCTCGGGGAGCTCCAGAGGTCCCTTCCAACCCCCACAGCTCTGAGATTCTCTGCTGTGCTTTCCAGCAGAGCAGTGGTGCTTTGTGCCGTTAGGTAGCAGTCAGGACAGGAGGATGAGGTGCTCCCATCAGCCTGGGCTTTCACTTTCTGACACCACACAGAAAGCAGTGCTGTTTTCAGAATAGCCTGGCTGCCTTTCTGGAGCTTTTTAGCAGTGGGGCCACGTGAGTGGGAGCACTGCGAGGGCTGGTGGATTGAACTTTGCTCTTGGGTGGTCTTGGGGTGAACATTGCGACCTGAAAGCATTGCCTGGTGGTGTAGGTATAATTGCCACTGCATTTTTCATAACTGATCCTATTTGCTTCCTCATAGGATCACATTGTACCTCTGTAATGGATCTGAGCGGGGCGTACCTCGTTAGTGCTCGGAGCCCTTCCCAGGACAGGACCCTTCGTGGGTGGTTTCCCATAAAGCCACATTGTTCTTCCAGAATGACGTGGGCTTGATGCAACCTAAAAGGATTTTTTTGCAACCTAAGTGGAGACAGAGGTTTTTTATAGCTGTGGTAGCCTGTTTAATCTTTCTTCTTACACAGAATAATGCTAATAAAAGAAAGATCAGTCTTTCTTAGTCCCAGCCATACTTTCAGTGCAAATGACAGACCTTGGAAATGTATTCAAATAGAAACGGCAACATATGGTTTCATGCGGTGGGATTTGATTTCAGCATTCATCTTGGATTTGGGCCAATCTTCAGGCTGGAGGCTTCATCTACAGTTTCACTCCCTTTAATCTTCCAGGATAAATTGTATCATTTCATGAAAGTCAGCTCGCTGTCTCCCGAAGCGCACATGGTTCCCAGCTCTGACTCATCTGATGATGGTGTGAGATAGCTGCCAGCAGCCTCCGAAAGCTGCAGGTTGCTGCTGCTCCTCCTGTTGCTGTCAGCTGCCCCCAGGCAGGGCTGCTGGAGCCCAGGGTGGCAGCGGGCTGCTGGGCTCGGGGCTGCTGCTTGCTCCAGCATTGAATTCCTCAGCCCTGAATGGCTCAGACTTGTTTGTGTCAGCTCTTCTCACCCACGTGAAACTGTTCACAGAGTTCCCAGAAATCAGCCCTTCTGGCTTTTACTGTTGAGTGATCATGTGTGCCGTTGTTAGGTTCTTTCCGTTGTACAGAAAGGACCTTTTTTATGTCAGTTCCAGTTTTTCTGAGTTGGGTGCAAGAGAGAGGCGGTTGTTTTGAGCTCAAGCTTGAGATGAACCTTTTTGTTCTGCTCTTGTATCAGCTCTGATTGCTTTGTGGGGATGGGAGGGTACAGGGAGCATAGGAAGGCCTTGCAGTTGGTTGGATTGAAGTGCAGCATTCAGCTGTGCTGCATCAGGAAGTAAATGGCTGGGGCACTAACGCAGGGGTGAGTGCAGCTGAGCAGCCTATGGGGGAACTGAGGGAGAGGGTTCTCTGGGTTCAGTTGGAGCAGGGGCTGGATCAGGCCTAGGATACATCTCCAAAGTTGAACTGCGCTTTGGGAGCTGCTGCCTTTGATGTTTGCAGAGCGTCTGGGCTCCCCAGGCTCTGCCAGCTCCTGGTTTTCTCTTCAGCTTTTCCTAGTGGAAGCCTCCTTGCAGCCCTGAGCTCAGCACTTGGCCAACAAAGGCATTTTTTTCACAAGGTGCACACTTTGTAAAGTGTGCTTATTCTGTCTCCTGAGTTTTTGGGGTTTAGCTGGAAGCACGCTGCACTTCTAAATACCATGTTTGTGAGTGAGCGCTCCCTGAGCACCCTGCATACAGGTGCCTGTGGATTGCTGGGCCTGCCCATGGGTGCAGGCTGTGGGATGAGGCCATGAATGTTGATGGTGTGTTATTGAGTTCATTGGACTGAAGTGCAGGTTCATGAAGGTTCATTGGAACTGCTGTCACCAACCTCTGACGGAGATCCCCTGGCAGAATTCCCACTGATGTCAGGTATTGACCACATATAGCTGAATAATAACCCAGTTAGGAAAACTTTGCATAGGAGTGATAGGAAATGTGTGATTTACACTGGAAATATATTTTATTCAGCCATAACAGACAGCAGAACACGTAGAGGGAGATCACCCAGCAGCCCACTGCATGAGGTGCTTTGCGGATGTAATGATCAGCTCCGTTCAGCTTCCCATGAAGTCTGTGCAAGGACTCCCCCTGAGCTCAGGGCCTTTGTCTCTGTGGAGATGCACACTGCAAGGCAGATGGAGTTGAAAAGAGAGATCTAATGGGGAGATGGTAATAATAATGCATATTTTGTAGGGTTTGCTTTTGGGGAGGGAATAGAAACATTGCACTGGGGATTTGGTTGCGCTGTAGGAGGTGCTGTGGAAATCCTTGCTCCAGAGAGTTCAGCTTCTAAAGAAGTACCTATGGCTGCCACCAGTCCTTCCTCACCTTTCACTGGGTCATTTCACAGGAATACTGCACGATGAGCTGCTCCCAAGGGAAGCAGCAGCTGGTGTTCTCAGCTGGGAAGCGAGGAGCTGTGGCAATAGCTGGCTGGAGCTACTACCACTGTTGGAAGTGGCCGGCTTCCTCGTGCCATAATCATGGTGATGGGGTTTGTGTTTGCCTGGTGGGAACACCCAGCACTCCCCAGATGTTTGGCTGATATCTGGGTAGGAAAGGAAGTTCCCAGGAGTTTGCTCTTCACACAAAAGGAGGGCAGCAGTGCCCTCTCACCCTCCCTTTGGCTTTTCAGCTTATTTGGTGCTTTGGGATATTGTTGTGAATGACTGCAAGTCATTCATCTGCTGAGAAAACTAGAGCCAAACCAGAGAGGGGAAGTAATAAGATTTAAGCAATATTCAGAGACCTGCTTTATCTTAGATCTGATTTCTCCCTCAAGTTGGACGTGTTTCCTACCACCGGGCCTGTGTTACGGCTCTGTAATTCTGACCAGCTGATCATTACACTGATGTACTTTGCTCCTCATTTAGCCTGTGATAACTTTCCTTTTTTCCTCTCTGTAATCTGGTCTTCTTCCTAATTACATTACATTACAATGGAGAACCAGTCCTGAACCATAAGGAGGCCGAGGCTTCCTGTGGCATAGCCTGCTGGAGCTGCTGTGTACGTTTGTGCCAGCAGTGGTGTCATTACATTTTTAGGGGAAAGGCAGGCAGGGACCTTTCTATGTAATTGTAGCACAGGTGTTGTCCTGTGATACCTCAGCTGGATTCGTCACAAAGAATATTTTTAACACAGAAAACCTGCCCAGAGAGGTACTGAGCAAGCACAGGGGCTGCTCTTAAATGTTTTTAATGTTCTCTCTTGCAAGCTTAGTTTAACAAACAGCTGGGGATTCTTTTGTAGGTGTGTGGAGAGAAACAGCGCTTTGAGAAGCTGATGGAGCACTTCCGAAACGAAGACAACAACATAGACTTCATGGTGAGCACTCCTTATCTGTGGACTTTGGCTTTGGTGCTGGCTCTGTGTGCTCCTGCTGTCACGTGCAGCATTCAGATGTACGTGGTTCTGACCCTTGGCCTGAAATTATTGCAGTACCATTTTTTCACTTACCAAACTGCATAGTATAACTCTCATGCTTAGGTTCAGTTTAATTACCTCCAAGAAATGTCAAGTGCCATAGAGAGGTTAATGGGAAAGAAGCTTTTGGCTGCGTGTACTGTTTCTATGTGGTAGAATAGCAGCATCTGCAGTATCAAGAAGCATATTCTGTACGTGTGCCAACATCCTCAAAATCACAGACAGGGAAGTGTGGGAGAGACTCATTGCAGCTGTCTGTCCTTATCTGGAGGTAAATATAGCAGTAGTTTTCACCACTTTGGTTCCTCATTGTGCATGTGCATGATTATTCACCAAATCCACTTCCCTGGAGCACAGCAGAAAACAGCAAGAGAGGAAGGCCTTACTGGCACCCACAGATGACAGTGCCAACTTGCACGTTGCAAACATGTGAAAGGCAGAGGGTTGGGACAGTGAGGACAAGCTAGCTGGTTACAAATTTGATATCAGAAATACTTTCGTGCTCGTTTCTTTTAAGTCTGTGGCAAGGGAGTGGTCATGCTGATTAGAACTTCCATTTTTAATTACAGAACAGATGCAGCTCAGGTACGGTCAGTGCACTGCTCATTATTATGACATGATCCCATCTGGAAGTGAGGAAAGAGCAGAAGGGTTTCCCACCTGGTGACACTGACTGTTCTGTTGTCTCTATTAAGCGTGCATGACACTTCATGCTGTTCAGGTGCAGGCTTTTTGTTACAGACATCTTTCTGCCAGCAATTAGGTGTAGAATCATCTGCTCTGGTGCCTCCTATGGGCCATGAAAATGTGGGTGCCAGTGACTTGCAGCCCCAGTGGGCAAGGCCAGGCTTGCACCGTGGGAGTATGGCAAAATAAAAACAGCGAGATAGGATGACCTTTTTTACTCATAGTCCAAAAAAAAGCTGTGTTACAGAGGTCTCTGCAATTGTACTAAAGTTAGCAAGCCGCTCCCAGTAACTCTGTGATATGTCACATTGTTTTGTTCCTCTTTATTGCAGTCCCAGTAAGGATATGTTGCTAGTCACAGTGTTGTTAAGTATTCTCAGATGTACTTTTAGTTAGCCTGCAGTTTAGCAGAAGGATTTGTCTGTCCCCAGTGCCCGACTCAGTTGTTTCTCCCGTGCTGACAGGGCAGATATTTGGGAGCAGGAGAGCAGTACAGCTTAGTGCAGGCCAGAAGCAAGACAGTGGCAGCAGCCTGCAGCTTGCTACCTTGGCCACTGTTATTAAGAATATTCCTCACCTTTAGTTAAGATGAGAAGTGGTGTGGTGACAATGATGGAGTAGGGAGTGTGAGCATGAGCCCAGTGAGCTGTGAATATCCAGCATCCATCTCGGCGTTCTGTTTCATCTTCAGGGAAACTCCTTGGTCCTCTCAGGCTGTAGGTTGAAGGTAGTGGTGAATTGTTTGAAAAAGGATAAATACTTTTTTTTTTTTTTTTTCTTTTTGAAACTTGCCCACATATTTATGAAGCCTGCATCTTTGTGTCGCTTATACCAGCCGAGGGCTTGGATGTCTGGCAAGGCTAAAGCTCGAAGAGGGAGCTCATGACAAATGATTTGGCAGGGCTGCTCGTTCCTGTCACCATCTGGCCCTGATGCACTCCACATGCTGCTGTGGGCAGCACCCAAGGAGTGCTCCTGGGGGGTGAGCAGGGCTGTGGGGCTGTGAGGAGCCATGCTGGGGCTCCTATCCGCCCCTCTGCCTTGCTGCACCGCGGGGCTGCACCGCTTGCCAAGGGTGTACTAAGGCAGCAATCCTTCCTTTCTGCAGGATGGAATCAAACAGGTCCTGGAGCCAAATCTCCAGGATGTAATGTGAAAGCTCGAGTAATTCAAGTAGTTGCAAGGGCTGAACACAAACAGAGCTATTCCTGCAGGAGCTGGCTTTCAGGCTGCCCTAGATGGAGAAGACGAAAGCTGTCTGTGAAGTTGGAGCTAAAAAGGGTTCCAGTTAATTGCACTGATCTGATGGGAGGAAAGAGAAATAAAAAGGCAGAAGTATTTTGGGGAAGATTCCTGTTGTTGACATTGACATACTTCATTTTAAAAGCAACTTTCTTAGATTAATTTTTTTTTGACTTGATAAATTCCTTAGTTGTATATGTAAGGATCTGAGAAAGGAAATGAGACTTTGGCCCCAGTGCTGCAAGAGCCAAAGCAAGTATAACAAGAGCACTTTTGAAATACAGGAACTTGGCAATGGGTGATTTGACAGGACAGCAGCGTTCAGCTGGCCAAGGCCAGCTCCAGCACCAGGAGGAACCAGAGCTCCCCAGGGGAGCTAGAAAGAGTCTTCTGCACAGTCTCAGAAGTTAATGGCGTGAGTAGCACAGTTTGTGTCCATATGGTCCCTGATGAACCCAAGCACTGTGGGCATCCCAGCCAAACCTGCCGTCAAAGGCTGCTGGGCAGCAAACAGCTCCCCATGAGTTTATTCTCTGGGAAGAATTATCTCAATAACTGTTGGGAAGTTGGCATTACTTCTGTCTCTGCATCTACAGTGGTTGGGTTCTGCCCTGCTCAGACCCACCGAGAATGAGGCAGACTTCTTCTTCTTGCAGATTGGAGGTGGTCACTGGAGAGCTGAAGGAGTGCTGGGCATGTGCAGAAAGGGATTTGGCTGTGCCTTACATTCCTCAGTGGGGCAAACCTGTGTGGGGCTTCAGGCACAATTCCTGCCCTTCTGCAGGTACCTCACCCTGCTGTCCGAGGGGCTCTGGCTCCCTTTACTTGAGGGCCTTGACTTGCCTGCACTGTGCTGGGATGCAAACCACAGTATGTTTTCTACAAATAACAAAGCACCTTTTATGAAGTCTTTGCAACCCTGAATCCAACACTGCTGGGGTAGAAGGCTGCAGAATAGCAAATGGCAGTTTTCCTTGGCAGTAGCCATAGCAAAATGCAGTCCCTCAGTGCTGGTTGGCCCAGGGAACCTGGCATCCCTTTGGGCTCCAGTGCATGGGGAGCTTTTGGAGAGGTCTAGAGGAAGCCATGAAGATGATTAAATGGCTGGAGCTCCTTTCCTATGAAGACAGACTGAAGGAGCTGGACTTACTTGGCCTGGAAAAGAGAAGGCTGTGGGGAGACTTCATTGCAGCCTTTCAATATTTAAAGGCAGTTTATAAACATGAGAGTTATCAACAGGTAGATAGCGATAGGACAAGGGGAAATGGTTTTAAGCTAAAAAAGGAAGATCTAGGTTGGATATCAGGGAGATGTTCTTTACTGAGAGAGTGATGAGGTGCTGGAACAGCTGCCCAGAGAGGTGCTGGGTGCTCCGTCCTTGGTGGTGTTTAAGGCCAGGTTGGATGGGGCCCTGGGCAGGACCCTAGTGCTTGGGCAGGGGGTTGGATCTTGATGGTCCTTGAGGTCCCTTCCAGCCCAAGCCATCCTGTGATTCTATGACTCAGGGCCGTGACATGCTGATGTGTGGTGGCTCCTCTTGCAGGTGGCTTGCATGCAGTTCATCAACATCGTTGTGCACTCAGTGGAGGACATGAACTTCCGGGTCCACCTGCAGTACGAATTTACAAAGCTGGGCCTGGATGAGTATTTGGACGTGAGTATGAGCAGGTTCCTGCGTGTGGTCTTTGGAAATGACTGCTTTCCTTGTATGATCTCAGCTAATGCTGAAATGTGGAGTGTGTTCCTGAATGATGGAGGTGGCCAAACTCCCACTGCTCTCCATCCCCTTTGCACTGTGGGCAGTTCTGGTGCTTCAGGCTGCTGCTGGTGCTGAGTGACACCTTTTTGTTTTTGGCTATACAGAAACTGAAACACACAGAAAGTGACAAACTGCAGGTGCAAATTCAAGCGTATCTGGATAACGTTTTTGACGTGGGAGCATTACTGGAGGATGCTGAAACCAAGAATGCAGCCCTGGAAAGAGTTGAAGAACTGGAAGAAAACATTTCCCACGTTAGTACAAAACTGGAGTTGCCTTTCCCTGTGGAGTGATGCACAGCCTGCTCTCCCTGTGTGCTGCAGTATCGCCCTTCTCTTTTGGGAGGTGGATGTGCAGGTGTAGCTAGATAGAATCTCTGGGGTGGGGAGTGTTCAGGAAAGCTTGTGGACTACTGTGCTTTCTTTATGGGTGATGTTCAGATATTTGGCAAATGAAGGAAGTCTCATGCAGGTAAACTTCCTGGGTGTTTCCCTGCTGTATTTTGAACCTCATGTGGGGCATCTTTGTGTTAATGGTTGCACCACTTGCTTCAAAGATTTGTTCGTAAGGTATTTATTGACCTGATGAGAAAATGTCTTTTTTTTTTGCCTTTTAATTACTTTCCTATTTCACTCAGTCCCCAGGTAGCTGTAAAGTACTGGAATGGCCTTATTAATGTGGGGCTCACCATACAGTTTGTATATCAAGGGACGGTTTGGTCTGGGCTGTGCAGCACAGGAGCATCATGGCTTTCAAACCCCAGGGATTTCTGGGGCCTGCAAAAGATACTAATAAATTAAAAGACCACAGGGAAAAAAAATAGCAACATGCAAATTCTCTTTCATTCATTGCTTATTAAATTAGCTCTGTTGGGAGAAGTCGTATTTATAGGTGTTACCACTTCAGCACCTATTGACTTTGCAACAGTGCCATTGTAATATTGTGTGTTTTGGATCAAACTTCAGTGTTTTTTCCAAATAATTGCATTTTAAGTTCTTTATTATAGGGTAGACTCTCTTAACTGGACAGGGTCACGAGTGCAGTCCAGCCAGATTGCCTGCTAGTCATAACTGAAGGCTAATGCTCATCATTACAGGAGCCTGCAGCTGGGCACTTAGTGCCACCTTCCTCCACACCTACAGGAGCCCTTTCTCTTTCACAAGAAAAACTTCAGGATTTGGTGGACATCAATAGTTTACCACGTACCACTGCTCCAACAAGTGTTGATGACGTTTTGTTTGAGAAAGATGTCGTTGCTTATATAATCTGTTTCTCTATTCTATGATAGTTATCTGAAAAACTCCAAGATACGGAAAATGAAGCCATGGCAAAGATTGTGGAACTGGAAAAACAGCTTATGCAGAGAAACAAAGAACTGGATGTGATTCGGGTAAGCGTGATGGGAAAACTCTGGCTGGATGCCACGTTTCAGGGGAGGGATCTGGTGTGCATTTTGTGTCTGGGAGGCAATGGCTGTTTTAATGGGCTGAGCAATTTCTGCTAGCTTTCTGATTTTGAACATAGCACAGATTCCAAGTAGAACATCTTGTCTGTACTCTCAAAGATGGGCATTTAACTTGCTCAATATGCCAGCAAATCAGCGATCCAGACGAGTACATCGTACTGCTCAGGTCTGTAGTGTTCCTGGTTGAGTTTTGCACGTGTGGTTGGCTTTGGAGAGGAGTTCAGGGTGGAACTGGAATCTTCCAGACTTAGTTTGCAAAGTATCTAGCACAACCTGCTTTCGGTGTACAATCCAGACATTATTTCTTAGCATGCTATTTTAATAACATAATATTAACTAACCTCAGCCTAAATGTTGACCCACAGCATGACTGGTATCTAGGCTTTCTTCTGAATGTCTGCCTTGGCTACTTGCAGATTCAGTCTCTGCTTCGGATCAGGAGCTCTGTTCCTACTTCCCTTTATGGGTCAACATCTGCTCATAGGCAGAGCAACCAGCAAGGCTTGATACTCTGTGTTAGAGGAAAAATCGAGGTAGCATACTAATTCTGTGTATTTAAGATTAACATAAGAAATGGAGGCATTATAAAAATAAAACAAATAGCAATCAGAATTTCTGTGTCCCCAGGTGTTGGTATCTGGTGGGTTTTCTCACAGGGCTCAGTGCTGCACACAGCCTTAATGCTGGCGTGGGAAAAACATAAAACAAGTTCTTCCTTACCCTTGAAGATGTATGGTTTGCATGAAAATGCCTTGTTAGATAATGCCTGGCACAGTGCACGGTCTGGTGTCAGGCTGCCTTCTGTTTCTGGTGCTGGTATTCTGTTTTGTGAATACAAATGCAAATCGCTCATTTTTGTGGCCTTTGCAGGAAATCTACAAGGATGCAAATAGCCAGGTTCACACCTTGAGGAAAATGGTGAAGGAAAAAGAAGAAGCCATCCAGCGACAGTCAACACTGGAGAAAAAGATTCATGAACTGGAGAAGCAGGGGACCATTAAGATCCAAAAGAAAGGCGATGGTGACATCTCCATCCTTCCTGTTGCTCTGGCCTCTGGGATGGTGCCGGCGGGGGCAGAGGCTGCAGCTGGCACGTGTGTCACATCCACTGCTGGAGCCACAACTTCTGTACCACTGCCACCACCTCCACCACCATTACCAGCCTTAGCAGCAGCATCTGAGGCAGGTAAGGAGCGTCGTGTCCCCCAGCCACAAGTTGGCTGTGATCTGGAGGTGGTTTTGTTATTCTGGGGTCAGTCACGGTAGCCTTGCGCTGAAAAAACACCATCAGTTGTTGTTACGAGGTTGCAGACCGTGTTTGTCTGATCCATTTCTGAGCTCTTAATTAGGCATTGGAAAATACTAACTCCCCTTGTGAGGGTGGTTTCCTCCCGTGTTTGTACGCTGAGATAATTCAGTGAAGGGTCCAACAAATACTTGGGCTGGTAGAGAGGTGCAGTCAGGACAGGGAGGGTAGAGGGCCCCACTGGGAGTTGTTCTGCGTCTGCTTGTGCCACGTTGGTTCCTGTTCACTTCAGTTTGTCCTCTCCTTTCCACAGTGCAAAATGGCCCCGTGACGGTGCCAGTGCCACCTCCACCTCCACCACCACCTCCACCGCCGCCCCCAGCACCGCCGCTGCCGGGTCCTGCCTTGGACACGACTCCTGCTGCCCCTCTGCCCCCACCACCCCCACCATCAGCACCCCCCCTGCCTGGCACCGCCTCTCCCACCGTGGTTTTCAACTCAGGCCTTGCAGGTAAGGCTCCCGTGTGTCTGCCAGGCACGTGGAGTGTTGGCTGGGGGGGCAGGATGCAGAGGTGGGGCTTCTTTTCTCTTAGTCCCCTGGGTAATACTCGTCATGTCTATCTGCTGTTATACTTAGAAAGGTTTGCGAAAGGAAAGATGATTTATCAATTAAACAGATTTGGTTTGATCTGTAGGAGAGAGCTTCTTCAGTGAAACTGAAGCTGCTGCCAGAAATATTTTTCTAACGTGATCATTTTTGGCTTTAAGTGAGCAAAAGTGCAGAACTTCGTGGTTTTGATTTCTTCCCAGTGCACGATGAAGAAAAATCTGTGCAGAAGAATAGCAAACTTTTTGTAATGTTTTGGAAGGAAGGAAAATTTCCTGAGAGTCTTTAATCGTGTTTTTATGTACACTTTGTCCTATGCCAAGCAGCCCATGCAGCAAATGGCTGTTAATTGGTATCACACTCCTTCCCCTCCAGGAAATCTCAAAAGCACGTTATGATTCCAGAAAGAGAGACTTAGGAGCCTTTACTCTCCTCAATGGGCTTTGCAGAGCAGCCCAGTGGTTCTGCAGCATGCAGAGCTCATTGGCACCATGGCTGGGGCAGCAACAGAAAGGCAGGTGTACCCTTCTGCCCAGCAGTTTCCTGTGCTGATGGGCTGAGAGGGATCCATGGAGGGGATGGCATCAATGTATCTGTGGTCAGAGCTGTTCTGCCTTGCTGCCTTTTCATTCCGAAGCTGCTGGCTTGATTTTTGTTGTGTCCTTTACCATGTGCCATGGGGAGAGGATTCATCAGAGCAGTTTACAGTGCCCCTCTGGTTTCTGCTGCCAGCTTTGCACTTGGACTGAGATGCTGGAGCAGTATGTCAGATTGCAGAATGTTTAAAACCCAGCTGAGTATCCAGGAGGTTCCCCAGTTATGTATGCAGAGGCTGATGGCAGGGGGTGTTTGATGTGGCTGTGGTACAGGTGGGACATATCCACAGGCAGGCAGGGTGGGCATTTTGTAGTGGATTAGAACTGAAAAGGAAAATGAAAGCGCCTATTCTTGATAAACCAGTTACATGGCAAGTAATGTTTCTCAGGGCAGGACCCTTCTGGGCTGGGGGGAAGTGGGTACAGCGATAAATCCTGCTGTTCTGACCACTGCTAACATATTTTTCTCCATTCTTTCTGCTTCCTGGTAAGACGGGCCGATCAAGCTCTTCTGTAGGTTGCTTTCTGCTAAGTATTTAACTACCTTCTCCCCTTCCCTCTGTCCTGCTTTGCTGTGCCCTGTGTGTGCCTGTGACTGTGTGTTTGTGTCCAGGAGGTGGTGGGAGGGCCGAGGTGGGTGCAGAGGGGTTGCTGGACACAAGGCACGCGTTAGCTTTGGGTTTGCTGCCAGCCAGCAGGATTTGGCCTTCCCAGGCCCTGATCCAGCAAAGCACTTCAGCACGTAATTAAGATGTGGCTTCTTTTGGGCTGCCCTCCAGCCACAACCGTGTCCCCGCTGCGCTGCCCTGAGCAGTGCAATTCTTGAGGACATCACCTTACCAGCTGACAGCGTGTCTTGGTAAGAGAGAAGATTTTGAAGGAAGAGATTTCAAAGGCATTTTGTTCAGCTGAGCGAGGGAGCTGTCCTGAAATAACCTGGGAGCAGTTACTAATCTATTCTAATGTATGCATGAGATGAAGATGTGTTTTTCATGGGAGTTTTAGCTTGGAAAAAAAGTCTTTTATTTTGGGAATTACTTAGGATTAAACGCATTCATTGTACAAAGTGTAAAGCCATTGGGTTTAGATGAGCAGAAGTTGACGGTGTTCATGTCTTCCAGTTGGACAAATATATTTCTCAGAGTATTCAGACTTTGAGGCTGAATACTGTGTACGTTCCCTGTCACTCACAGACATTTGTTTTGAGCAAGTTCTCTAGCTGGGAATTTATTCTTTGCAGCATCCTTGCAAAAAGGAACATGACTTGGAATGTACACGGACACACAACTTGACTGTTGCTTTGGAAGTGGTGGGACAAAGCAAGAGTGGTGTTTTCAGCATTCACCTGGTTCTGGTGCACAAGAGGCTGTGCCCTGAAACTGCTGATCTGTCATGGCAAAAACGTGCAGCATCAGTAGGGGAAAGTAAAATAGTTATTTGCTCAAGTGCTTTGCGAGCTGGGAAAGTGTCTTCTGTAATCAAGGAGAAAATAATCCAGCATCTCAATGTAGCATCGAATAGATGCCCCTGCTATGGATGCAGGGTAGGCAGCAGTCAGGATTTCCTTGGAGCAAACACTGAATTGAGCTGAGCCAAACACAAACTGTCCCCACCTTGGGGAGATGTGAACCTGCTGTGGGGTGCAGGGAGCCCAGAGCTGGGTGGGAGGATCGGGACATGGGCATGATGCTGCTCAGCCTGCCTGGCCCTGCTCACAGGGAAGGGGCTCTTTTCTCCAGCACTGGAGATGAGGGGCTTCTGTTGCTTCTTTGCAGTTTGGGAAGAAATGGTTTCTTTACTAAAATTTTTGGAGTGCCACATTCATTAATCACTGCAATGAAGATCCTGAATTTGCAGCAACTAGCAGCTACGTGTTTTCATCAGCATACAAAGAACTGAGCATTGAATTAATAGAAATGTTCATGTGCCCTCCAGATCTGTTAGGAATAGGAATGAAGTTGTTTTCTTTGCTCCTATGTTACTTTTTTGTACTCCTTTCACTGATGAATGAGAGTAGTTTCTTTAGCTTCTCTATGTGGGTTACTGAGACACGAATTCTGCATGACCTGAAAAGATGAAAGCCATTACTTAAAGTGTGTGAAAGCTCATGTGTGCTGCAACCCCCTGTTTTGGCTTTAAAAAGTAGCCCTGACCCCTCTGAAAGAGCACTGCCCCATTGCAGCAGTGGAACCTTGGGAAAGGAGCTTTCTTCCTTCTTGTCACCTGTTCTGGGTTGAATTTTGTGATGCATCTACTGCCAGTGACACATCCTCCACCTCAGTGGTGGAGGTGTGTCCTCAGTTGGCAGCTTTAGCTGTTGCTGAGGGCTGAGGCCACCATGCCTTCATTGATGTGGATGGTGCTGCTTGCTGTGCTGCTGTTAGCAGCTGGGTTTGGGCTGCACGTGCTCAAGCAGCCCTACACTGTGCGTGGCCATGCACCAGCTTGTGCCGAGGTGGGCTCTGCAGCCAGCAGGACAGGGTTAAATTTGGCTGCTCCATCAGTTTTCTTTAGTGTTTAAAAATAACATGGGCTTTTAAAGCAGCCCAGACAACACGGGGCAATAAAAGTAATAACACATTTCCTTTTGTGTAGTTTTCACAGCCTCTGGCATTCAGTCCCATTCTGCAGACGCTGGCCCTGAAGCAGCCAGAGGGTTGGATAAAAGCCTCTCTGCACTGCCTGCCTGTCAAGGCAGCAGGATCTTTTCAGGCTCCTCAGGGTGATCATTTAGCTATGGCCAGTTCTTCCCCCAGCGCTGGAATGCCAGCTCTATAGAGATCACGGTCTGGGCACAGGGGGTGTTTTTCAGCTGCTGGGGAGTTGATCATTTCCTTTCCTCTGGTGTCTTTAGCTGTGAAAATCAAGAAGCCAATCAAGACCAAGTTCCGCATGCCAGTGTTCAACTGGGTGGCCCTCAAACCCAACCAGATCAACGGGACGGTCTTCAACGAAATAGACGACGAGAGGATCCTGGAGGTACGAGCAGTGCTGGCTGCCTTCCGCTCCCCGTGTCTGTCCACAGCTCAGTATTGGCCCTTGCAAAGATGTACTGTGGCCAGCTGCTAGGGGTAGGGCTGGTGTGTGGCATCGTACCAGGGAAAGAGGCCTACAGCAGCCCAGAGCAGGGCTGAGCACTCAGGTGCTGTGTGGTCCCTGTGCTATGAGGTGGATGCACGTGGCTGGATGAAGTCTGAGTGCTAACATGAATATTTGCCTGAACTTCTGAACACGCATAGGGCTGTTGGGGCTGGAGGCCAAATTTCCTGATTACTGACTCAGGAGCTCATGTTTACTACACTGTGCAACCCCTGGCTGAAGTTCTCTGCTGCAGCCACAGCAGCCACAGGGTCTTACTGCAGTTCTGGTATGATGCTGGGCAGTGTGGCATATAATACTTGCCGTGGGAAGGATAAATCACTTTCTTTCCTTTTTAGGATTTAAATGTGGATGAATTTGAAGAAATATTCAAAACAAAAGCCCAAGGTCCGGCCATTGATCTTACATCAAGCAAGCAAAAAATTACTCAGAAAGGGTCGAACAAAGTCACATTATTGGATGCAAACAGGGCCAAGAATCTTGCCATCACTTTAAGGAAAGCTGGAAAGACAGCGGATGAAATATGCAAAGCTATTCACGTGTAAGTAAAACACTTGTCAGCAAAGAAATCATATTCAAGATTTACTGTGGTTTTTGGTAAGTGGAATGGCTTTGAATTGGCAGTTGATGTAAATGTTTTTGCATCTGGAAAAAATCCATCAGTAAGGATGGAACCAATCTGAATTCCCACAAATCGGATTCCCTTGTACTACAGTATGTTAACTTGCAGTTTTGTGTTGCTCTATCACTATATGGGCTTAACAAATTAACACATATTTTATTAAATAAGCTAATTCATGTTCATCCACAGTATGTCATTGCATACTGAATTTCTCATTTGATGTACATGGTATTTTTTGTTCTAATGAACACTCCAGAGGCAGAGTATCAACCATTGCAGCTTGCTCCACAAAGCACAAGTTGAGTCCAAGTGCACTGGAAGCATTTTGCATGCAGTGAGGTTTATGTAATCGCCCCACGCAGTGCCAGACCCAAATGTGATACAGGTGTGTCCAAGCATAACTGCAGCATAGGATCCTACCATGCCCCATCCTGCAGGGTATGGACCCAACCTTCCAGCTCCAGCCCTCCAGCTGTGCCAGCTCCTTCTTTGGAAACAGAATCAAGGTGCCAAGCAGCATTCACACCAGCACTTATGTCTGTGCTGTCTCTGCGCAGTAAGCAGGTTAACATCTTTATGTGCAGACAGCTTCATGGGCAGGATTGTGCTCACAGCTGTGGGACACCCCCAGGGATGGTGGCCCCCCACTCCCTGAGCAGCCTGTGCCAGTGCCTGACTGCTCTTTGGAGGGGGAATCGTTCCTCTTATCCAAACTGAGCCTCCCCTGGCACAACATGAAGCCATCACCTCTCGTCCTGTTGCGTAGGTTTGACCTGAAAACGCTGCCAGTGGATTTTGTTGAGTGCCTCATGAGGTTCCTGCCCACCGAGAACGAGGTGAAGGTGCTGCGGCTCTACGAGCGGGAGAGGAAACCCATTGAGAACCTGTCTGATGAAGACCGGTTCATGATGCAGTTCAGCAAGATTGAGAGGCTGATGCAGAAGATGACCATCATGGCATTCATAGGCAACTTTGCTGAAAGCATCCAGATGCTGACCCCGGTGAGTGGGAGACAGCCCTGGAGATGTGCCAGTTGTGGGGAAATGACCTGGGGCTGTCTGGGTGTGGGACACTGTTTCCCCATGGGTGGGAAATGTGGGAGCTGCTCTCTGTGGTGCAAGTCAGGCTTGCAGGGCACAGTGCAGCCAGGTGCTGACGTGGGGCTGCCAATGCAGGTTGTAGAGATCTTAATTTTCCTTACACAGTGATGGTTTGAGTGTCACGGAGTCATTCTGAGTTCTCACAGAGGCAGAATGAGAAACAACTGCATGAATGAGGAAGTGCTTTTCTAGGTGTATTCTCATCTAACAGTGACTCGGAGATCCCAGCTGTTTCTGTGGCAGCTTGTACCCTGCACTGCTCCACATCATCTTATTTCTTTACCCCGTAGAAGTTTAAAACCAGTTTCAATGAAAATCTACTTGTCTGTGCCATCATGGAAAATTACTTTCAGTGCTGGTCTGAGGGCTCTTTGAAGTATGTCCCATGCATCTTTCACAGTCATAAGGACTGAAATATAAATAGTTTTCCTCAACCACATCTGAGTGTTAGAAATCTGCAGTGCAAATTAATTTTTTGAAATCCTGACATGCCAGGGCAGGGTAGCATTTATGCTGGGATGCACTGAATTGATTGAAAACGTTGCTGTTTTTTTTTTTTTTCCTTAGAGTGGAAGTGTTTTGAATTTAATTTTACTTTCAGGTTGTGCATTAACCAAAATTCTCCCTGTGTTTACTTGCAGCAACTTCATGCCATTATAGCTGCATCTGTCTCCATAAAGTCGTCTCAGAAGCTTAAGAAAATACTGGAGGTATGTCTGACTTTGGCTGTGCTCAACCACTCACCAGTGCATCCCCTTATGTGTACTGAAAGTGCACGTGGATGCTGGCGTACAGACTCTCAGAGGTTTCATAGAATCATAGAATCACCAAGGTTGGAAAAGACCTAAAAGCTCACCCAGTCCAACCGTTCACCTATTCCCAATAGCTCCCACTAAACCATGTCCCTCAACACAACATCCAGCCTTTCCTTGAACACCCCCAGGCTCGGTGACTCCACCACCTCCCTGGGCAGTCCATTCCAGTGCCTGACCACCCTTTCTGAAAAGTAATACTTCCTAATGTCCAGCCTGAATCTCCCCTGCCATAGCTTGAAGCCATTCCCTCTGCTCCTATCACTGATGACACGAGAGAAGAGGCCGACTCCCAGCTCACTGCAACCTCCCTTCAGGAAGTTACAGAGAGCAATGAGGTCTCCCCTGAGCCTCCTCTTCTCCAGGCTGAACATTCCCAGCTCCTTCAGCCTCTCCTCATATGGCCTGTGTTCCAGACCCCTCACCAGCTTTGTTGCCCTCCTTTGATCACGTTCCAGGGTCTCAATATCTTTCTTGCAGTGAGGGGCAAAGTGAGGTTTCATTGTGCATTTGCCCTGAAAATTCCCTCTCTGCTCTGTTTTGCTCTGGCAGATAATCCTGGCTCTCGGTAACTACATGAACAGCAGTAAGCGAGGAGCAGTGTATGGATTTAAGCTACAGAGTCTAGACCTGGTGAGTAAACCAGAGGCAATGAGGGGACATGAGCTGAAATGCATCCCTTTTAAATGGAGAATGGCTGCTCAGGGCTCATCAGTCCCCAGCCAATAAAGGCAGAGGCAGCAGAGCGTAGCGGTCAGGGGAGGCTCTTCCCTGCACTCTCTCTGAGATGACCCTTACCAGCATTTTGGTGGCCCCTCACAAGGAGGCCACAAATCCTCAGACCGCTGTGGAAATCCACCCACTTATGTGGGCCTTTACAGCCATCTCTGTCAGATGGAGAAACACTTGGGAAAACAAACACCCTTTCAGTCGCTTTGTTTGGTGTCTGCTGCACCTTAACCCAGCAATCTTGTTGCTTTTTTCTCCTCAGCTCTTAGAAACAAAGTCAACAGACCGAAAACAAACCCTGTTGCACTATATTTCTAATGTCGTCAAGGAGAAGTACCAGCACGTCTCCCTCTTTTACAATGAACTTCATTACGTGGAGAAGGCTGCTGCAGGTACTGTAACCACAGCTGTGCCCTTAGTGCACCTGCTGGGCTCTCAGTGCTTTCCCACTTGGACCATTCTAAGAACAAAACCAGGTGGTTTCAGTGTTATCTACCAATGTGGTAGCAGAGCCAATTTAGGGAGGGCCCTTAGTGCCAGCAGGTTGCCTGGCCTAGCATGCACAGCAGGGATTGGTGCTGTTAGCATCACAGCAGTGACCTCCCCTGCTTGGTGAGGGGCAGTGGCAGCCACTGCTGTGGTTGGGGGCACTTTGCAGCTGGGAGCTGGTCATGCTGTGGGTTGGGTGATTGCACAGCAGGAGCGATTCAGCAGTTTTGTTTTATTTCCTAGTGTCTCTAGAAAACGTCCTCTTGGATGTGAAGGAGCTCCAGAGAGGCCTGGATCTGACAAAGCGTGAGTACACCATGCATGACCACAACACGATGCTGAAGGAGTTCATTCAGAACAATGAAGGAAAGCTGAAGAAACTGCAGGATGATGCCAAAATTGCCCAGGTATTTCTTAATTCTTGGGGTGTGAATGACTTGGAGAAGCAGAGCACTCTGTGCATACTCAGGGTGTTTTCTGCTGACACTGGGTTACTCTGCGGTGGGGTTTGAGTGAAGAGGCACAGAGTCTCCATGGCTCTCCTTTGTTCTGACATGAATGTATAAAATGTGCATTACTTGTGAAATGAGGAATTATTAGTCTGTCATGGTGTATAAAAGTTTTTCCCATGATGCTGCCCCCATGCATTCTTACCATTCGTTTTTTCTCCTTTGTGGTGAGGCCACCCTTAGGTTATTTGCTTGTGCTGCTGTTTTTCCTAGCAGTTCTTCTAGCTGCAGATGTGTCTTACTTCCATGAGCTTGGTGACAGCCCTGCACACGTTCTTGACGAACTCTGGTTCAAGCTCTCCTGCTCACTTCTGAGACAGGCTTTAGCCATGAATGAGTAGCAACATGTCACAGCAAGTGCTTGCTTTTATATACACTGCAGGGAGGAGGAGGTGCAGTTCTGTGTTTGCTCCTGTCCCCATGCTGAGTGTAGGTGTGCTCATGCCAGCCAGGAATTCCCACTCAGAGGAAATGTCAGCCCCTTACACCGAGTTCTGATATGCTGGTGAGCATATCTTGAAGTATGTGCTTTTTGTAGGATGCCTTTGATGATGCTGTGAAGTATTTTGGGGAGAATCCGAAGACAACACCTCCCTCAGTTTTCTTCCCAGTGTTTGTCCGATTTGTGAAGGCCTATAAGGTAATCGTCCCCTTCTCTTCTGTCCTTCTCAGCATGATTTGCCATCTGTTGTCTCAAGGTTGCCAACAGCACAGCTTGTAGCTCCCCCTAGCTTCGATGCAATGCGAGCGCAGCGGCACCAGCCCAAGGCCGCACAGATAGTTGGTTTGGGATTATTTTCAGGGCTGAAAGGCAGCACTGCTGTCTGAAATGCCAGAAGAGTCCTCAGAAACAATGTCTGTGAGATTAAAGTTCTCACCTTCAACCCTGACCCTTTGGGATCAGGGCCAGGGGCTTTGTGTGACCTGGGAGTCTCTCCCTGCCCACTAATTTCAGACTTTGCTTAGCTGAATTGCTGCACCCTCAGTTTGCCTCCTTAGAAAATGTAGTTCATTTGTAACATTCAGGTTCCTTGTAGTGATTTGAAGATGTAACTTTTTGGGTCTTTTTATGTGTGTTTGTGTGTGTGTGTGTGTGTGTGTGTGTGTGATAAATAGCAAGCAGAAGAAGAGAACGAACTGAGAAAAAAGCAGGAACAGGCCTTAATGGAAAAACTTATGGAACAGGAAGCGATGATGGAGCAACAGGACCAAAAGGTATGGAGCAGACAGGTCTTCACAGCTCAGAACCTGCAGCTCTGTGCAATGCTTGAGTTGCCCAGACTTAGAGCTACCCAGAAATGTGGTCTCTGAAAGTTTTCTCGTTTTGTGAGGAAAGCTGAAATTGACTGAAAGAATCCAAGTGTGTATTAATTCTACTTCAAAGCTTGCAAAATTCAGAAAGCCAAATAGGCAAAAAGTCACCTAGCCCGTGTTGCTGTTGGCCACACTTTTTTCCTGCTTTGGCATTTTACTGTTTTAAAAATCCCCTCTGTATTCATTGTGCAAGGCCCGCCGTTGCTTGCAGGGATCTCCAGATCTTTCCCTGTTTGAGCATCCCAGCAGGAGTCTGCCCTGTGTTACCACTTGATAGGAATTTTCTGACCTTTTCTTTGGTTTATTTTTTTCCCTAAATGAATGCTTTAGATGTACTGGAGCATTTCCACAGCTCCAATGGCCCTTGTATTTGCTGAAGCTGCTTCATGCGACTCTCGTGCCTAACAGGTGCCCTTAATCCCAGCCAGGCATTTTCTGTTGGATGGAAAGCTTGTTCTCCTCCTTCACTTAATGCTGCTTGGAGGAGAAGGCTTGGAGTCTTGTTCCAAGTGAGGAGAAGGTTTAGGATGGAACTGCAAACCTAAGAAAGAGAAACAGCTTGGCAGCCAGGCCAAGTTAGCTTGTAACTCTGGCTGTCACCCCCAGCTCCTGAGCTCGCCATGCTCACGTCTTTTCCCTGGGCTTGCAAAACTGGGCAGAAAGGTGGCAGTTACTGGTGTTCATTGCTGCAGGTGGGGTCACCTGGTCTTTCAGACAGAGGAACTGCAGCAAAGATCCTTACAAATCCTTACAAATCCTCTCTTCTTTGCTTTCAGTCTCCTTCTCATAAAACAAAGAGGCAGCAGCAGGAGCTAATTGCAGAGCTGAGGAGGCGGCAGGTCAAGGATAACAGGCATGTGTACGAAGGGAAGGATGGTGCTATTGAAGATATTATAACAGGTAAAGCCCTTTTGTTCCATAATCTCAGAAGCCCTTTCACCAAGGTTAAAAAAGCATATCTGCCTAATAGCTATTGTACATGCATTATGTGATTCTTGTAGAGCTGCTGGAGCACAGCTTAGGAGATTGTTTACATGACGTGAATCAGTGATAGAAGGTTCTGCTAAGGGAGCAGACAAAGCCCAGTAACCTGCTTTTGCGTGTTCACTGTTGGTGCTGCCCATGTTTGTCACAAGCACAGACTTGGGGCACGTGCTGTTTCTGACCTCTTCTCTTTCAGCATGTTGGGACACACTTGGTCTCTGATCTCTAGAGTAAGCAGCTCAGATCTCAGCTGACATTCGGTGGGGATATGCATGCTGTGCAGATCTTTCCCAGAAATCTTTACTTTCCCATAACTGGAATGAATGACAGATGTTTAACATTATTAAGAGCCTGCATTTTCATTAAAATGTACTAGCAGTAATTGCACCACATTATTGCACACTTACAGGAAATCATTTAGTCAAACCTGAGTGATGGATGGCCCTGAGCAGCTTCTGGTTTTACTGCTTTTCAGTTTGGCAGAAGTCTGCCCTGATCACCACTGGGCTGCAGAGGGGGACAGAACCCACCATCAGTGCTAGGGAAGCAGGGACGTTGTGAGCTGCTAGAGCTCCTCTGAGTCGTGCTGTGCTCAGCAGTCTGTGCCACTGCTCTCGTTGCAGTGCTGGGATTTTAGTGCACTTCTTCACGTGTGGTGTGGAAGGATCAAGACTGTAACACTTCGATGGCTTTACAGCAGTTGAATTCTGTTGCACAGAAAGTCAGCAAAACAATCTTTGGGTGAGACAGCCTTGACTGCTTCTCCCAGATGTTTGTCGTATTGTTTCCTCCCTCTGGGAGGAAGAGGAGAGCTGCTTTACCGCTCAGTGAGGAATTTTTGCCCAACTGCATGAGAGGGTTGGAATGCTCTTAGTGAAGCTTTCACAGCTCTTTCTAACGTTTGATTAAGAGATTCCTATGATAATATTCTCCATGTAAGAGGCAGACTTGCTGTAATACCCAATCACTTCTGCTTCTACGTCTCCTTTGGACTCCTGGAAGCCGGTGTAGTTGGCGAAGTGGCTCTGCTGCTCAGTGGGAGAAACAGATGGTGCAAATGATGCCAGCCTGCGTGCAGCCCTGTGCCAGCATGCCAGGCTCAGCCAACCTGACCATCCCCTGTGGTGCCCAGCCCTTCCAGCTATGGGGTGCCCCGGGGCCCTAGGCCGCGCAGTGACACATGAAGCACAAAATGTCAGGTTGAACTGAGGTCACTTGGCTGCAGCCTGTGACAGCTCGTGCAGTGGCATGGAAATAATCAGAGGTGTCACTTGATGCTGGCTTAGTGCCTCATCAGGTGCACGGGGAAGCCCTGCTGGCTGGGACAGGATGGGATGCTGTCTGAAGCCACGCTCTTCCAGAGTCCTAGCCTTTACCTTTAGCAACAGTCTTTCAAAACCAGGGACAGATACGCAGTGACTTAAAACTGCCTCCTTACCAAATCCTCCTGTGCTGCAGTGTCATGGGCTGGTTGGAACGTGCAATCCTGTACCTGGTTGTCCTTAACCACGCGCTAACCGTGTACTAATGCCATCGATCTGTGCTTCTCACTGCTCTGTTTGTTTGGCTGTTATTCCCATGCAGTGCTGAAGACTGTGCCCTTTACAGCTCGAACCGCCAAGCGGGGCTCTCGGTTTTTCTGCGAACCTGTTCTCACTGAGGAATTCCATTACTAAACTATTCCTCTTTCACATCTGATGCTCTTAGACAAAAAAAGGTTGCTGTAGATTTTTTGACACTTCTCCATTTGTATGGACCTCAGCCAGGATCGTGTGAATGTTGAGTGTATAGCAATGTCCGGCGTCCGCCTGAAGTCGTATCGATGTCACCTTCATTGCATGTGTTGTGTTTCAGTAACGTTTTATTTCATCCCATTCAATCTGTGTTGGATGCTTTTGGCCATCCTCACATTTCAGAGGCATTGCTAACCCTTGTGACAAGTGCCATAGAACAGCAAGTGGGGGAAGTCACAGTAGATTCGGTGCTGGCTCCATAGGATGGACAAGGCTCAGGCCAAACACAGTCGTACTGTGACAGTTCACTTGGCTTTTCTATGTCATCTCTGCTGGCTGCAGATCTTTCTCTGCATGCAAATGTACCTGAGTAGTCTGCATGTAATAACTGAGCTGTAAGCTAGGGGAACTGTGCATGGCTTTGGTGGGACCTCCTTGGGCTTTGCTTTACTGGTCTGGAAGGGTTATCTGTGGTAATGTGTCCCCTGTGCGAGGAGCATCGTTTCGGCCTTTCTAACCCTTGCCTGCATGTTTGCATGTCAGACACAGAATGGAGGACATCTTCTCTCATTTGTTCACATCCACGTCTAACTTTTTCAGTTCCATGCCAACTTTTATCAAACTAAAATTGGTAATGTTAGTTGAGCATTAACCAATTCTCACGGAGGCCAGCACAGTGCCGTGGGCTGCGTAACAGCGTGGGGTGAGAGCTGGGCTGGGTGGGAGGCAGCAGGGCTGGGATGTGCCAGCACACAGCTATGGGCACGGGGCAGAGCTTGGCATGGAACTGAGCACCATAATCCTGTGGTGTGCAGTGTCAGGAGGGTGTGCTTAACCCTGCATGTCTCTTAACACTGTTGTCTTGAATTAAGGACGGATGGCTTAAGAAGACAACAGTGTTCACTTGGCAATATGTATTTTTATGAATGCTTCTAATAAAATTGCAAACTATAATCAGCTCAACAGTTATTTGCTCTTTCAAGTTAATTGCTGTATTATCTTCCTGGAGCCAATCTTCAAAGCAGCTTGGAATTTGGTTAGCAAGAGGGAAGGGTGGCCCTCGTGTCCTTTCCTCTCCTCCTCTAACCTCTCATGGCCTCGGCCTCACCCCTCCTCTCGCTCTGCTGGCTAACATGCCTGCCATTTTTGAACGCTCAGTTGACTTGCTCTCCATTTCCCATCCCATTTTTTACTTAACCATCATTTTTTTTTTTTTTTTTTCTGTTTAGCCCTAAAGAAGAATAATATCACTAAATTTCCAAATGTTCACTCGAGGGTAAGGATTTCTTCTAGCACATCGGTGGTGGAGGATACACAGAGCTGGCAAGCATCACTTTTTACTTAGCTTCCTCCTCTCTCTGTATGCCCAAAGCCTGGCAGCAGCTGTGGCTAAGCATAGTGCTGGTGAGGGCCTGAAGGCAGCGGACATTCAGCCCATTGATTCCCACCTCTGGGTGGCAGGGGGTTGCTGAGCCTGCTGGCTGGTCGCCACCTTCCTGCTCTCTCGATTTTGGCCCTTTCTCTTCCAAGTTGAGCCCGAGGTAGGCAGCCTTGTCCCAGGTCGTTACAGCCCGTAAATCCCTGGCTGTAGCACCCAGCTCCTGCTGCCTGTGCTCCGCAGGTGTGCGGTGCTGCGGCCGTGGAAGGGGCACCAGTGAAGGCTGGGAGCACAGGGCAGCATGGGTGGCTTCTGCTGTGCTGAGAGCTGAGGAGTTGGGGAGTGGGGCTTAGAGTGAGCTGTAAGTCAGCCAGGGAGTGCACGGGAGGGTTTCCCCGACGAAGCACCCGTTTTTTTTCTCCCAGGAAAAAAAAATTCTACCTCAGTTATGTGTAAGGTGCACCAAGCATGCTGTGTAGCTCATCTCCGTAGCACAAGAAGCCAAGCAGTCACCTGTCCTCACCACGCTCTTAACACGGGCTTTGTTAAACCCCCACTGCCGGCTTTCTCCATTGTTGGCTCCATCGCATGCTCAGTACTGCCCTCCTCTCCCCTCCCAGCCCCAGCAGCAGCCCAGCCCTGCACCCCTCGGATGGCAGCTGTGGCTGCAGGCTTGCAGGCTGGATGCAGGGGGATGCCTGCTTTTTCTCAGGGCACCTTCTGATAGTCGAATGGGTGGATGGGCCACGTAAATGCATGCCTGTTTTGGTGAGCACTCATCCCGTTGTGTCCTGTGTTTCACATTCACCGTGTGCCATCCTGCATCAGAGAACTCATTCAGCGCAGGGCGCTGAGGCCCTGGCACTGCTGCCCGGTGCTGTGTGGGTGCCCCATCCCTGGGGTGCCCGAGGCCGTGGGGTGGAATTGGGCGATCTGTAAGGTCCCTTCTGACCCCATTCCCCAGTTCCATGTCTCTCACCTCAGGGATTTAGAGGCTGCACAGTGTTAGTGAATACGAGCTGCCCACGGTGGGCAGACACCCAGCCCAGCAGCGCTGCTCCGTTAGTGCCCCCAGCACTCGGGGCGCACACCAGCACCGCCTGCTGCTCGGTGTGTTGCCATGGGGCCCATCAGCTGTTCTGCTAGGACCCACTCCCTCCTCCCATTGCTACCCAAGCTGCTTTGACTGGCTTCCAGCAGGCCCGATCCCTGCAGTGCACGCTGACCAGGGCCCCTTTCCTCCCTGCAGATCTTCGAAACCAGCCGTACCGCCGGGCCGACGCGCTGAGGAGGAGCGTGAGGCGGCGCTTCGACGACCAGACCCTGCGCTCTGCCAACGGCACTGAGATCACCATGTGAGCTGAGGCCTCCGCAGGGCCGGGCTGCCAGCGGTGCCCCTCCCTGACCGCCTTGGGAACAGTATGGTTACCCCTCAAGGGCTCAGACACCTAGAAATGCATAGGAACGTCAGCGATGGGCTCTCCGCTCAGCCGTAGCTAACAAGTGCCTAAAATGGAAGTACCTGCTCAAATTAATCGAAGCAATAGGACTTGATTTGATTGGGTATCTTTTGACACCAATACGTTATTCAGTATTTTTAACCAAAAAGTAAAGTATGTGTTGTTTTTGGGTGTTTAGTTGGGTTTGATTATGTGAAAACTTAGCGATCGGTCTTCTGTTGGCCGGACCTGGATCCCGACTGGTTGGAAAGAGGTAACTCTGGATGTGCTCTGCTGCTGGGCTTCTACATGCATTCCTGTCCTTGGCCGAGGGCTGACCTTGGCTTCAGCTGCACTTACTGGCTTTTTTTTTTTAAAAAGAAACAGAACATTTAAGGGCTTTCTGTATCTAGTAGGAAAATAGCAACAAGAAGAGCTCCGTACCTCGTTCCGCCATACAGACTCCGTGCGCCGTAGCTGGACGTGGTAATGTAATTCTGTGGTGAGATGTGTGGGCAGTGAACCCTGTGTTTGCTGTAAGGTTCTGGGTTTGGTGGTGTGCAGTGCGGGGCTGAGGCACGAGGGCTGCGGGGGAAGCGGTGCATTGCAACTGCGCAGCGTGCGAATGGCACAGAACGCATTGCCTGCTCTTCAGTTAGAGGCACTTTCATCTAACAGCGTATTTATTAATTAGCACTAAGGTATTAACATCTCAGTAATCAGTATTAGGGTTCCGAGGACCATTACAGCTCAGTAGTAGCACAGAGATCTCATTAGTGCCCCGCACGGCCGCGGTTCCGGCTGCGCTGTGGCCCCACGGCTCCCTCTGACAATCCAGCTCCAATTAAGCCTCAGGGCTCACGTGTCCATCAGCTGCCCTGCAAGGTTTGGTGTCACATTCCGAAAGCTTCCCCAGGGACGGAGCAGCGCCCTCTGCACCCCACAGAGCCTGCAGCGCCGCCTGGAGCCGGCGGTTGTCCGGCCCGGAGGAGGAGTGGGACTGCAGCTCTGTTTGTGCTTCCCGAGCTCGTTGTGCTCACAGCTTCCCCTGCTGGCATCGCCGCATCAATATGTTAATTGTAAAATTTATTGTATAGTATTTAACCACTGAATTTCTTTTCTTTTATGTTGTGCTTACGTGAACCACTGGTGAAGGTCCCATTTTTCTTGGATAATGTGTAGTTATATGATAATCTGTTTTTAAATGTACAGATATTTTGCTACAAAATCGGTGCCGTTTTTTTTATGGTTTTTACACTTCTTTCACTCCCACTTTAGCCTCTGGGTAATATTGTAAATATTGTTTAAAAAAAAAAAAAAAAAAGCATCATCCTGTGCTATACAATCCGAATGTTATTTTAACTTATAGTTTTTGTTTTTATATTTAACTAAATGGACAGCTGGGGGCTCAGTTACCGCATTGACCTCTGCTCACCCATTTCCAGAGCGTTTCCTTTATCAGCAGCCACCCCTGCACTCACAGCACCGTGTGCTGAAGGGAACATGCCACTGCCTCCCTGCACTGGGAGAGCATGCAGTCGGGCCAGCAGTTTGGTACATTGGTGGTCAGAGGGCTCAGAGCTCCACTGCCTCATTCCTGTGCTCAAAGGTGTTTTGTTGGTTTGGTTTTGTTTTTAAATTTCAGACAAAAATGATCATTCGACTGGAATGGAACGCTGGCATGTTCTCTTTCATATTTTTCTAGTAATAGATCTGCTTCTTAGCAATATTAGAAGTGTTTTATAAAAGCAGTTCATGTTACTTTCCTGGTCTGTCCCTGGCATAAGAGCAAATAAACTATTTACACTACTACACTGTAATCCCTCCTTTCCTTCTTTTATAAGTGACTTCTACAGCGTTTTCTTGCCCTCCGGCCCATTGCCCAGCATTGCCATGGACAGAGAGGCTCCAGCCCTGCAGCAGCCCTGCAGTGCAGCTCAGCCAGGGCAGGAGCCCCACTGTGCCCCCAGCAGCAGTTCTGCAGTCAGTGCTCCATGCACAGAGATGCACTGGTGAGTATTTCCCCCTTAACGTGCAAAAAAACATCAGTAGAGTATTGAAGTCCTAAACTTACAGAAACCAGTGCTATACCTGAGCTGTAATTGATAGGATGGTTTAACAGCACAACCAGGGAGGGTGACTTACCAGCAGCTGTCTGTCCATCTGTACATATTCCAGTCTTTCCACCCATCCATCCTTCTGTATGTCCATCCATCAGCCTGTCTTTTGATCAGTCTGTCCCTCTGTTCTGTGTTTCCGTCCATCTTTTCATCCCTGTCTGTCCCTCCATCCATCCACCTGCCTTTGTTCCTTTTTGTCTTAACATCTGTCCTTCCACCTGTCCTTCTACATATCTGCCCATCCGTCTGTCTGTCTGTCCATCTGTCTTCCATCTTTCTGTCCCTTGGATGGCAGAAAGACAGAGGGACAGAAAGATGGAGGGACAGAAAAAGAGAGGACAGAGGGATGAACGGGTGAAGGAGACAAATAGTGATGGACAAAGGACACGACAGAAAGGCAGACAGACAGATGGACAGGGAGATAGACAACAGCCAAAGCAACCCCCCCCCAAGTGCTTTCTCACAGCCTTTGTATTAAGTTCTGCTTCTCCTGCATTGGTTGGTGTTGTCTTATTTGAAGGTGCCAGAGCTGATTAAAAAGCAGGGAAAAAACCCCCCGGAAGACCCCACACCCAAACAACAGGAACCCCCAAGAACACTTTGATTTTATTAAATGTGAAAATAAAGGAAAACCTTTGCAGAGGAGCATTTGCTCAGCGACACGGAACGCACTGAAACCAAAAGCTAAAGCTGGACTTGGGAGTATTTTCCTGTAAGCAGAGGTGGCTTAAATCCAGAAATCATTGACAGGAAAAAATTATCAGAGCTGTACGCAGCATTGAAGTAGAAATAAATACCAGTAGACAGCAGAAGACAAGGTTTAATAATTGCTAGAAATGTACAAAAATATTCCAATCAAAGGTTGCAGAAGGTGTACCACAGCAGCACGGCGCTGCGAGGGCTGGGCTGACGCTGATGTCCTGCACGGATGCTGCAGCTGCTGTTTGTGTGGGGCTGGTACATTCTTCAGCAGGTTTGTAAGGCAACGTCTCAACTTACAGTTTGCTTTTTGATAGTGAAGATAAGCACAGCGAGAACATCCGGAGCTGCTTTATGTGAATACAGAAGGCGGCTGTGAGCGGCAGCACCCTCTGCTGATGCCACAGTGGAGGCTGAGTGCAGTCCCATCAGCCACGTCTGCTTTTAATTACTGTACAATCTCACTTGGAAGTGATTGCTGGACAGGAATCTCTCAGCAGTCTTCTGTTTCACATAAGTGCTTGGAACGGGTTGGGTAGGAATGCGGATCATGAAGGAGCAATTCCAATAGCTGACAGGTTTTTTTGCAGTACACATCAAGAAACGGATTCATTACACCCATTGCCTTTCCCCCTTTCAAAAATAACAACAAATTCATAAAACAAATTAAGCCACAAGAAACTATATTAAGAATCTTTCTAAAAAACAAAGCTCTACCTGCCTGCACGGCCAGGAAGAACAGTTACTGCCTCTCTAGGAAGGAGTGCACCGCAGAGATGCTTTGCTAGAAAGGTGCCGAGGCTCTGCTCAGCCTGCAGGTGAGGTCCAGTGAGACCCGAGGTGTCTTCCATGGTGCTGTTCCCTTCCAGGACTCCCTCCAGGGGAGCAGAGCACCCGTGCTGCCCAACAACATTCGGCTTAACTCAGAATTTCATTCACTTTTGTAGGTTTGGGGCCGGGCCCGTAAGAATACTTGGATGTATTTATGTGGTAAAATTAAAACCCACCGTAATTTCAACAATGGAACTCGGGATATCAGAACCCACATCCTGAATTAAACATTGGTTTCTTTTATTATGCCACAATGTAAACATATTTGGTATAAATAACGTTCTCATTGATCTTCATCCAGTTGTTCCAAAAGCGTCCGCCTCTGCTTTTCCAGCTCCCCTTCGCTCAGCTCGCTGCCCGAGGTGTCCCAGTTGCCCTGCAGGGAGAGAAGGGGTGGTGAGAGCTTCAGCCAGGCTGCCCAGCTCCCAGCTGCAGCCCTGCCGCGTGCCCCCACACCCTGCTCTGTGCAGGAAGACACAGATGGGTTCTACGTTTTCCAGAGGGATTTTTCTACAGGTATTCTTAATGCAACACATTCACGTTTGGTGTTTCTGATGTCAGCTCCCAGAGCACACAGGGCAGCGCTCAGAGCAAGGCACTGCAAGGGGAAGGGCTGAGCTCCTCCTGTGCCTGTGTTCACAGCCACAGCTGAGCTCCTGCTCCTGGCAGATGTCTGCATTCAGCACGGATCTGGGCTGCCCAAAGCAGATTACTTTCAGAGGGCACAACAAAAAGCAGCTGTCTGCCTCCCACCTCTCCACGGTGAATCGTACAGAGGACAGCACCACCAGCACTGTGCAGCTGAGCTGGGTGAGGCAGAGCACTGCCCCTCATCAAACCCAAACAATGCTGTTCCACTCTTTCTCCATTCAAACACATCTTTGAAACACTGCTCTGACCCTTCCAAAACAAACTGTACACAGAACCATCGCAGCAAAGAGTCAGACCATGGGCACAGCTACGCTTCTGTGTGACTTTCCAGTTCAAAACGTGCAAGAATTAAGATTTTCCTCCAGTATGAGACCAGCAGCAGCCCAGCACTACTACAGCAGTGCTGAGAGTACTCAAATTTCAGAATGGAAGAGCTGCACAATCACCTCAGCGTTTAACCAGCTGTCCTCATCTCCTTTGACATCAATCTGGCAAATTGGATGGAAAAAAGAAAAGCAGTTTGGTCATAAACAGTACTCTGCCACACTGTGGGCTAAGCTTCAGTACCATCTATAAAACAGACAGCCTCATTCACACCTTACCTCAACCAGCAATAAGCAGTGCTGGGCCAAATAATAAATCCATTGGTAACAAACACTAAGTGAGGGCATAGAATCTGCATGATTTGGCTCTGCTTGAGCATCTGGTTCTTTTTTATATATGGAATCAGAACATAAATAAAGCTTTAACACCTCACTTGAAGTAAACTCTTTGTGAAGCTATAGAGCTTGCATACTCTAGCATCCCACTGATATACAAAGCCCAAAGGCATCACATAAAAAGGAAATAAGAAAGCTTACAGAATCTTTTCCAGGTCGTTTTTTAGTCGGAGATTTATGTTTTGATTCAGATCTTTGTCTAGCTCTATCCTTTTCACTTTCTCTCTCTCTTTCTTTTTTGTCTTTTTCTCGTTCAATATCAGATTCTGGTGAATCCTTTGTAATAAAGGGAAAATATTAAATATTATTATTAAATGTATTAGGTATTATGGTTTATAAAATACACCTCAGAATGTCTGATTTCATTCTAATATAGGCCACTTTAGAAAGAAACTGCTGGAAGTGGCTGTGAGTTTAACACATCCTAGTAACCAGGGCAGAAATAAGTACTGCAGAAACATTACTGAAGTTTTTTCAGAAGGAGAGAGTCCTGAAAAACGTTCACCATTTTTAGTGCATGCAAAGACAGGGCATGCTGGATCCATGCAATAAATCCCTTCTGTACCCACGTGCCTCTCATGCCATAACAGCTTTGCAAAGGGTGAAGTCTGCTAACTGTTCATCTGTTAATGTGGCTGCTTTGCCACCTCTGAATGCTCTCACGCTCCTGGACTTCTGTGCACTGAGGGCTCAGGTGCTGCAGCTGTTTTCATTCTGCATTTCATCCCAGCTAAGTTGACGTGACCCTGTCTGTGTTGCAGTCCTTTGGCACCGACACATTACTCAATGTCTAACACTGGTTTCCATCTCCCCTGTGTGAATGCTGTCCACTGAAGGGCACAGCCAACTGCTCAGGTGCTACAGAAACCACAGAGCATCGCTTTGAAAAGTTCTGCAGCAACCTGAGTTCAGAGACATCAACTCCCTCCTTTACCTGACACCAAAAATACACTTTGGCCTCAAGTGACGTACAGAGGATGAAAGCTCTCTTTCTACTCTTTACATTCTATTGATGCTGCTGCTCATTTGATGTCAGAGCTGCTAACTCAATCCTGCTACTGAGGCAGACGAAAGGATTGATGCTCAGCATGAGGTGAAAGGAAAAGATGCTGGGATTCTATCCAGCACTCCACAGCAGAAGTAACTCCAAGACACGCTGCGATGACAAGCAGCCAATGGCAGGATACTGCACTCCTTCATATTTGCTTCTGTAGTTGCAGTTTAAACCCCCCCACGTTACTGTTCTAAATGGTTTTAAGTTACTCATAACCAGGTCTGATCTAGAGAACTGCCTGCTATGAGGCCAGCTGGTAACTGCCAGTTCATAACAAACAGGATTCCTGTGGCTGGCCATGAGGTGTCAAGCTGAGCCTGAAGCCAACTCAAAAAAAGTCAGCTCTACTTACAGACTTATGTCTTCTTTTCTTGCTCTTTTTCTTGTGTTTTTTTGATTTCTTGTAACTTCTCTCTGCAAACAAAAGGAGGGAGGGAAATCAATAAAGTTATAATTTAATTATAATTTAATACTGATCTAGCATTGAATGTGAAGGTTGGTGGCCCTGCCTGCAGCAGGGGGGCTGGAGCTTCATGGTCCTTTATGGTCTCTTCCAACCCAAGCCATTCTGATTCTATGACAATTGCCCAGCAATAAATCAGTAACAGTCATTCTAAAGCAAAGAAACAAAAGTCTCATACCAGATTCTGCACTGGAAGAACGCTCAGAAGCAGATCTAGATTCTGAACGTTGCCTTTTCTTCTTTGAATGGCTATCATCATCCTCCGTCTCCGAGCCCTTGAGATACAAGATGCGGTTAGCAAGAGGACAGCAAGGCCTCCACAGTGACAGGAGCAGCTGTTAAGGCACCACAGAGCCCTTACCGAGCGAGAGCGGGACCTCTTCCTGTGGTGCTTTTTGGATTTCTTAGAATGTTTCTTGTTCTTTGAATGATGATGCTGACACTCGTGCTGGAGTACAATGTGAAAAGACAAATGTTAGTCTGCAGGGCACACCGGGAAACCAACGACGTCTCCCATCACCCACAAGGCACCTACAGCTAGCAGTGATTACAGAACAGCATTACTGACAGTAGGGCCACGTTAAAGTTAGAGCAAGCTTTCAGCAGCAAGGGAAGCTTTCAGGCAGCTTCAGGCATGGATGCACACAGCTTCTGTTTCCCATATCCTTGCTGCAGTGCTTCCTATTTGAAGTGACTGCCCGGGTTGGCCAAGAACAGAGTGCAAGCCTTGCTTTGCAACATTTGAAATTCTGAAATGAACCCATTTGAACATGTACAAACTGCAGCAAGTGAAACAAACAAACATTGGATCTCATTACCTATCAAAGATAACACCTTTCTGAACAAGACTGAAGTGCCAAGATTTCTGCAAATCAACTCTCAACATCTTTGGCTGATCCGAAAGTTAAGGGTGAAACAGTGAAACTACATTACAACCCTCCCTCCCACCACCACCAAGCTGTTCACAGTCAAACAGACAAAATGTGAACTCCCCACAACTCTACAGTAAATCAGAGAATCCTGATGTTAACTTTTGAAAATCCTCGCAGTGCACATCAGAACAACCATGGATCAAGTAATTCTAACACATTTCTTCTCTGCCTTATTTTCAAGGTGAGGTTTTAACATCCGTGCTCTTAACATCCCTGTCTGTAGAATTTAAGAACCAATCAACTAAGTATTGCATACCATCTATTCTCTCATCAGGAAAAGATAAAATAAGAATTACCTCGAGTACATGCATGAAATCTTTAAATATTCTTTTCCTTTCAGACTCTAGAGTGATATCTTCAAATGCTGGTTCCTTCACAAACCTGTCTCTGATCTGTCAGAGAAATAGCAATGGAAGTACTGACATGAAATGCAGACATTCTGAAGTTTAAAGACGACAGGGTCACATTGTTTCTTGTCAGCTTTGTAACCAGCAGGATCTTTAACTCAACTGCACAAATGGATACACATGCATGCAGAATTGGGTTTTTTTCTGCACATGCCTCACAAGCTGGGTAAAAGCACACTGTCTACCATGAAGTTTGCTTTGACAGGAAAGGTTTTAATCCTAGCAGGACAAAGTTAGGCTTTTAACTAAGCAGAGTGCTTGTATCTCCTCTTAAACCATGCACTTAAAAAATAAACCAAACAGGTATTGGTAGAATTAAATTTTTCAACTCCAATTCTGAGGCCTGCTGAAGAGGCGACTCATTCCTATGGGTCTGTGCTGCATAGACAGGAACCTCCAGCACAGAGAATCTAAGCGTAGTTGCTGGCATGTGTTCAGGTGGCTGATGCATTTGGAATGACTTCCAGAGCCAAGCAGCAATACATACATCTTCCCAGACAGCATCCAGCTCGATGGGAGGAGTAGCCTGTTTCAGCATGCTCTTGAAGGCAGACTCTTTCCGCTTCATTTTGCGAGCTTCTTCTTTTTCCCTTTCTCTTTCACGGGCTTCTGCCTTTTCCAGCAGCTGTGTGACATGAAGTTGTGACATCAGTTGAAGAACAGCAGAAGGGAAGATTCACAGTTCAGTTCCATGCAATTTTTGGAAAGCCCAATGACAGCTCATCTTTGGAGCTCTGTTTACCACTGCCCAGTACCTCAAAGCACACAGCGGCGTTTCTCAAACACAGGTACAGGGAACATAAGTGCTGGCTGCTGTTTTACAGGGATCTCATATTGTACTCCTATTATTCATACTTACACTATTGAAAGCCAGCTTGATATTTCCTGCATCTAAAGTGGTGGCTCTCTTAGTTGAACTGATGACTGTAACAAAGTCTTCGAAAGAAGTGTTCACTTCCACTACAAATCCTTTATCCTGTAAATAAACAAACAAACTTACTTTCTTGGCAAGGGGCTGAGTCAGGAATTGTCACACTAATAGCACAGCATGGGGCTTCCCACTGTGTTCAGGGCATATCTTCCAAAAGAAAGGGAGATCTGTCATTAGAAGAAAGACAGCAATTTCCCCTCTCACCTTTAAGATATCTTTTATGATCTTCTTTTCATCGTGGTAACGTGCTTTTAAGTCTTCAACATAGAACTTGAAGAGATCGAGCGCTGTTGATCCTGATAAAGAAACTAGATAAGTCAAAAGCTAGCTCTAATACAAGAGCTGCGTTTTCTTAATTGTTTTTAATTTTAAAACAACATACAAACAACCCTGCTTCACACTGCCTGCACCTGAGAGCTTTACGCCTTACTTTTTACAGGGTTGGAAATATTCTTACCAGGCTGACCAAGCATGTTAGTGAATCTGATGTCAGAGCTTATGGTTGGGTACAACTCCATCCAAGAGGACATTGAATGTAACTGTCCGTGCTCGTGCAGCTCATCTAGAAATATCTGTGAAATACATGCACTGCTCATTAGCTTATCCCCAAGAAATACAAAGCAAAGGCTGTGTAATCATTTCACACGTCTGAGACAAACAGCAGGTCCACCAACCTGAAAAGATTCTCTGTTTTTCCGCTGCCGCCTTCTTTCTCTCAGTAAACTTTTCTGTTTTTCTTCTTCCTCCTCTTTTTCCAATGCCCTGATGTGTTCCTCAAAGCAGATCAGTGCATCCTCCTTATCCATATCTAGCAACAGGTAACAACGGAGTAGTAAGTGTCCAGTTGTGACACCAACTCTACAGTGTTTCTTAAGAGATGACTAACTGCTGCCAAATTTATTGGTGATGGAGTGAAGGAAGATTCACTGGCCACTGAAATGTATGACAGACCTGTGCAGCAAATGACCCAGCAACAACAAAACCAAACACCAAAAGCAGCGACAAAACCAACCCACTTCCCCTCCAACCTGCCCAAATTCTCACTGTCAGTACAGAGCACAGAAGTCTTGAAGAGAAAAACAATCTGCCTTGTACTACCCCAGGTATCTTACAAACATGAGGAAGAAGTCAGAACACAGAGCATCTGTCAAATACTTCCGTGGCTGTGCCAATGCAAATGCTGCTCTTAAAATGCAGGATCAACCCATTTATGAGAAAATCAGGTCAGAATGAAAAAGCCTGCTTTCTCACTCTGGAGTAATGGTTACTTTTAAGTAAACAAACACAGCAGGACCTCAGTCTAACGGAAGGAAGCCCAACTATCTGCCACACTGGTTATGCTGCCAAATAATTCTTCAAATTTCAGGGGGTAACAAATACCAAGGCAGCTGGATCTCCAGGAAAAAGGAACTCCTTTTTTGTATCTCTGAGGGTGCATCAACAATGCCTTCTGAAGCTGACTCAGCTCCCCCAAAAGTAACACATCATATCTCTCTATTCCTGCTGCTCACAGGCTGTCACAGCTGCACTGCAGGAGAGCAAACCTTAACCAGGAATCCCCACAAAGCCATTCCCTCATTCACAATAAATGCATGGTCTTTCTACATACTCTGAAGTTCCTCATCTTCTGCAAACGTAGGGTTGTCCATCAGGTACTGCTGAGCCTCTGACCAAGTAGTGCAGTAAGTGACGTTGGCCATGTTATCAAGGATGTTCTTCAGAGCTTCCCAGTTCCTCTTCCGTAACTGCTTGGCTTGTTCCTGCAAAGAAAATGCAGTAATGCAGCAATGCTCTCATCTGCTTCTCAAACGTCTGTGCTACAAATTCCTTCCCTTCTGCCTGCATTTCAACTGTCCCTGAGCAATGCACAGAACTGCACTGCTTGCAAGATTTGTGTACTCAGTGTAACTGATCAATTTACTTGCAAGTCAAAGCTCTGAAAGAAAGTTACCTTTTCTTTCTTAGACAGAAAAAACAAAACATCTTCATAAATCTCCAGGCGGTCACGCTCAGATATTGCATTCCACACCTCCATCTCCCCAAACATTTGTTCAGCTTTTCTGTACAAAACAAAGAAAAAGCATCCAATAATTTCTTGCTCATAACTGATTTTAAATGCCCCGCTGGCTTGCAATCACGTCAATCAACTGTTTCATAAGCAGTAATTCTTCTGTGCAACATCTCCCTAATTTCTGTCATGGACAGCCTGGGTGACAGCTTTCTCTCTTTGATTTACAAACAAAAAACCAACCTGAATTTTACTTACATTCTTTCAAACTGAGCACACGTGTCTTCCTATCAATATTTTAGGTACAGGCTTTACAAGGCTGAGCACATAGCAAGGTAAGCATTGCCAGGAAAGATTTTGGGACAAACCTGTCGAGGTCATCAAGACCAGAACTTGATTTCAGGGTGCCTTACTTGTATCGTGTTGTGGATGTCATCTTCTCATGGTTCTCCAGAAAACGCTGGAAGGACTCTTTAGCTTCTTTGTATTTTGATCTTGCTTCTTCTTTTTCTTCTTTTTCTGTTTGAACTTTGTAAGCATTAAAGGCTTGCTTTTTTTCACTCAGCTTTGCCAAAGCACTTCGTATCAAAAAGAAAACATGAATTACAGGAAAGGTAATTACATTTAAACATCAAAACTGAAGACCCGAAGCACGAAACAGATTTGAGTAACCCAAATCTTTGAGATGAAATTAAATATGATCTAGGCCACCAGTCACAGCCCTGCCTGCCCCTCAGGGATATACAGCTTATATTCACCCACTTCACACTGCAATACTACTCTTACAGTGGATATAAGCTCCTTTTCTGTGAATGTTTATGGCAGGCATCCATTCCAAAATAACCTAGAAAGGATTTATCTCCATCATGATCAAAAGTGTGTCTTTATTCCTAAGCAAACCACATCGACTGTACAGAATAGCACTGACAACTGCCACATCCTTCCCATGTCAGGAATTAATGCTAGGAGTTGTACTTCACATCAGTGACACCAGTCCAGTCCCTCATTTACAGATATTATGAGTAAAGAACCAAGCAGTACCTGTATCTAGGATCATTAATGATCATCTTCATGGCTTGCTCCCAAGAAGCATTGGATGGTACTCGCTGTCAAGACATTGCATCATTACTGATCACATTTAGCATCAACATCCAACAGTGAAAGAGAAAATGCACTACACTTTTGGGGTTAGGAATACATTCTGTTTTGAAATTGACTTCACAGAAGAAGAGACTATCTCTAAAACAGACCAGCTTATGGGAATGCTGCATCCCAAACTTCAGTTTGTCATCCTTCCATATGATCTCTAACCTGTCTCTGAAGCACCTGCTGAAGGTGCCCATCAAATCACTCACTGCCCCAGACTGAATTCTGGAGAAACACCAAGTGGTGACACATTGCAGTGGTGATACATTACAGAGGTTAGTTTACATTACAGTGGTTATGATGCATCATGTGAAAGGTAGAAAAGAAAAACAACTGAGAGCTCTGATGAATATCAGACACCTTGCTCCTCATTCAAAACGTTCCTGATAAAGGCTTAAGCCATCCATGCTTCCTTTCTCAGATTTCTCATCTAGTATGTAAATCCTCTCCCCTCAGTGTGAACAACTCTTTAACAACATCAACAACAGACCTCGAGCCATTCCTAGTAAATGCAGCTTTGGTAGCTATAAAGCAGAAAGAAAGCTGACCGAAATACCTTTTCTTTTAGGAGTTCTTTAAATGCCTGTTTTGCTTCTTCTTTTGTATTCCAGGTGTAGGTTTTTTTAACTGGCTGCGCATCATCGCCCTCCTTCTTTGAAGCACTATAAATAAAAACTAATGATTTTAGTATTTAAGCATTTTTTTCTGAAGTTAGAACCAGCAAAGAGCCATTCGAGGTAAACACATCACATTATCCCAGAGCACTATGGAAAGTTTATCAAGTGTCTGAACCACAGGCAGTTCTCTAGGAGCTTTGGGTGAAGGCCGGGAAGGGGAAGGCATTAATTTTCCTAAAAACAGGTTTAATGCTCCTTCCTCTTATTCATCCTTCTCCACTGCCATTGAGATTGATGCTCATGTTTCACTAACTAGTTGTCAAAGCAAATCAGCCAGCCAGAATGGGAGGTGAACCAAATCTGCAAAGAAATAACCGCAGGAGAGCAGAATCCCACACAACAGGACTTACTCTGCTGAACCGTCCTGCTTGGAGTCATCGGCTGCGTTAGCAGCACCTTCTGCACTCTGTTCCTGAGCTGCAGGAGCTGAAGTTGCTTGCTGCCCCTGATCCTCAGCTGTGGCTGCAGCAGCACTCTCGTTTTCTACCACAGCAGAGGCAGCAGTGCTTTCTGTTTCAGAGGCTGCAGCAGCGCCGGCAGCACCAGCTGTGGCAGCCTCAGCAGCAGCCGTGGCTGTGGCGGCTGTGTTGGCTGCATCGCCTGCAGCAGAAGCTGCTGAAGCAGATTCTTCAGTCTTGGTGCTGCAGGTACAAAAAGTGGGAACAATCACATTTAAGCTCAGGAAGAGGTGACAGTTTAGGGAAGGCTGCAGCTAAAGGAAGTTAGTGATGTTCAGGAGCTGTACAAAAGGCATGCCTCAGAGGAGCTCGGAAAGAGGAAATGCTTTACTGAATCTGCTTATCTATGCAGACCAGCCATTTCACTTCCAAAGGGCTGGAGCACCTCTCCTATGAGGAAAGGTTGAGGGAACTGGGCTTGTTGAGCTTGGAAAAGAGAAGGCTGCAGGGAGACCTCATGGTGGCCTTCCAGTACTTGAAGGGAGAATAGAAACAGGAGGGGGAACGGCTGTGTGTGAGGGTGGACAGTGATAGGACAAGGGGGAATGGCTTTAAACTGAGACAGGGGAGGTTTAGGTTGGATCTTAGGAGGAAGTTTTTCACACACAGGGTGGTGAGGCACTGGCACAGGCTGCCCAAGGAGGCTGTGGATGCCCCATCCCTGCAGGCATTCAAGGCCAGGCTGGATGTGGCTCTGGGCAGCCTGGGCTGCTGGTTGGTGACCTGCACACAGCAGGGGGTTGGAACTGGGTGAGCACTGTGCTCCTTTGCAACCCAGGCCATTCTGTGATAATTAAGAATTTCTATATATTAAGGCACTATTTGGAATGAAAATCTGCAAGGGCCATGTTTCAGGATTCAAAGACAAGATTCTACTCTTAAAAAAGTAACAGACAGCCTATTATAAAACACAACAGTAGTATCAAAGTGACAACACACCTGTTTTCTTCAGCTTTGATCAGTGCTAGAAGAGAAAGGGAAAAACAAACAACAATTAAAACACAGCTTTAGAAAAAGTTGTTTTGTGCATTGTAAAAAGTTGCTGTGGACACAATTTGGCTTTAAATATTTTTGTTCCTATTCCCCTTTAAAAACTGGAAAAAATACCACCTAAAACAAACTATAGAAATCCCACTGAGTAAAGATTAAAGGTACATTTCTCCATTTAAAATAATTATTCCAACTTCAACAGACATGATTAAAGAACAGATAAAGTCAGGCTTACTGGAATGCATCTTTCTTTTTTATTCTAACAGTCACTGATGCTTATTCTATGGAGACCTTTCTGTACTCATTTCATACTCAGCTGATTTTGTAGCTTTTCTTTTTTGCCAAGATCTTATTTCCCTCCCAACACCACACAAACTGTGCTAAAAGTGAAGAACAAGAGCACATTATGTTTGGAAGGCCAGAAGAAAAGGGACACTTTCTTTACAACAGGGAAGAGCAGTACAAGTGTACCTACCAACTGCATTCCCAGCTGCTCCAAATAATTTCAAGACACATAAGCAAATAACACCACAGCAAAGCCTTGCACACAATTCTGCCTTTCAGTAGGCAAACTCTGTTTTCATTATGAAGCATAGCACTGTTTCTCAAATTCTTCCAAGAAACCACAACAAAGTGTAAGTAATTCTTACTCAGTTATGAGCTACAGCACTACAGAAATCCAGCACCTTTCATCCTGTTGCCCCAAGTGAAGGTGGATTGCTATAGTGGCCCCTAAATTCTTGCCTTCCCTCACCAACCTGAACATAAGTCCTACTAAAAGTTTCTATAGGGCTGACTGCTAAGTAAGGAAAAACGGGTCTGCAGTGGGTCTGAAATGAAGAAAGAGTTGAGGCACTGCCTGATGCAATGACAGAGCATTCACCCAGCCTGAACAAGCTTAGTTCCATATGAATTCAGTTCCCGTTTATGGACACGAGGGGGAGCAGTTGCTGCTACTACATACGCAGGGAAAAATGAAGGGTATAAAGGAAGAAAGGCTGGTGGGGTAGAAAACACAACGTGGTGCTCTGTAGGTATCACAGGCTACATTCTAACTACTGCCTAACAGATTTGTAACTCCTATGCTTTGATAACAAAGTTTTGCTATAGCACAGCTTGCAATCCTCTGCCATCCCCTCTGCTCATCCTTGTCACAGCCATTACCTTCCAGATCTTCGAGTTCTTTGGGTTTTGCCCAGCGTGATTCCTTAGTTTGGGAGTTGTAGTAGTATGGCTTTCCAGAATCAGATTTGTACTCTTTCCAGGGGCACTTAGACAGCAATTGCTAATGGACAAAAAAACAAAGACACAAAATCAAACTTACAGTAATATTTTAAAACTAAAGAGGTTGCTAGAAGTGAGCCTGTAATACTCCTCAGCCAAGTGATAATTTAAGGACCAACGAACACAAGGGATCATGTTCACTGTGTTCACTGACCCTTGATACTCTCTAGTGACACAACCACATCACTGAGATACCAGTGCCAGTGCCATCCTTTCAGTAAAGGAAATTTACCTTAGAATTGAGGAAAAAACACTTAGAATTTTGTTTAGTTTGCAGCTTCAAGGTGCACCAATGTAAGGAGGGTGGTAAAATTAGCAAAGTTGCAAAAAAACCTGTATAGGCATTTGCTCCCACTGATGAAAATCCATTGGCACAGCTTTGCCATGTGGCAGCCACGGTAGTGAACTGTGCCTTCACACAAAGTCACACAGCAGTCTGAACTGTTACCTCAGCAGGTGTTTTAAGATCATCTGGCTTCTCCCATGTGGACTGCTTTGTTTCAGTGTTGTAGTAATAGGTTCTGCCATCAGGCGATTTGTGCTCCGTCCACGTCGATTTCTGGGAAAGTGAAATAGAGCATTAATGATGAATGCTGACCAGGATGCTGCTGAAAGCCACTAAAACAAATTCAGTGCAAATGGAAAGCAGATAAACCTGTTTAGAGTGCTCCTCGCTGCCTGAACTGTTGGTCGTGGCTGTTTGCTGAGCTGCACAAACCACGGGATGTGTTGTCTGAGGGTGAAACAAAACAGAGCTCTGAAAAGACATTCTGGTTACTATTTGTTTTTCATTTCAGTGTGCATATTAAATACACTAAACCACTCAGTAGCGACAGAAAGGCAGCAGAACAACAGCATTTGAGTCAGCACTGCCTCCAGTAAACATCATTTGCAAAGCACACCTGTGTTAAGGAACAGCACGAGAACTGCAGACAGATTTCTGCCACGTGCACTGGAACTGCCAAAGCAAAACGTTCATCAGTATGGCAGATGTAAGAAGTTACCCCAACGTAAGATAAAAATCTGCTTATAAAGTGCTCAGTGATACACAGAGGGGATTCAGGGATTAAAAAAAGGAGCAACTTTCACTCTGCTTCAGTCCCTTGCAAAGGCTTTAATTTGAAACGAGGCAGCTTTAAAGTACCTGGGCTGTAATTCACATGCCATTCAGGTAAGTCAAAAATACCTAAAGAAGGGCACGTGGAGCTGCCACCTCCACTTGGAAATCCAGAAATAAATAATTTCACCATTAAAGAATGGATGTAAATGCAGCAGAAAGCACCTTCTGCTTTAGCTCCAGCTCAGTCCCTTTAAATGAAAATGCTAAGGTCACAAAAACAGTCATGGCGACCATCTGTACTTGACAGAGCAGAAGAAAAGCACCAGCAGCTATTAGTCTGAGTGTTAATTTCAGATTGATAATGAAACCTAAGTCACAGACAGAGCAGCAAAGAAGAAAAAACAGAAAGACAAGGTTTTATTTTGCATCTGCAAAGCAATGTTTGCACAACACCACACTTACAGATGTCCAGAATGTTGGTGTCCACTTACCTGAGTTCCAGGAGGCGTCACACCTAATTGAAACAATAAAAAGAAAAGTTTGGTTGCTTTATTTTTTCATACAGGAATGCAAAAAGATTTCAATGAAAGTATGTTTTTCTAAGAAACAATGAAGATAAATGATGTTTCACAGAGAAATGGACACATTTTTTCAAGACTTTGGGAAATGCTTTGAAACAGCAACAAAGAACTTCTACTTACCTACTTGTGCATCCATGCTGTTCACCCCTGGCTGTGGAAACAAAGGACAGACATTTAAGTGCTGACTGCACCTGTAGCTCCATCAGTACATACAGTGCTTCTCCCAACAAGGGCAAGTGCAAAATAAATCACACTGCTTCTCATCAGCTGCCTGCAAATGACTGCTCACATAGATCACGAAACAGAGCCAACTGCACAGCAGTGGGTGAAAGACCATCACACTCCTATGGAATAAAGATGGGAATATAACAATCCTGCTGGCCTCTGTGACCTTCAGATTACATTTGGGACTTGGAGATGGCATTGTCCAAGAGACAGCCAACACTAACTCAGTAAGTTGGAATTTTACCAGGCAAGTCATCAAGGTTACAAAAAAGTCATGATTTTTTTTTTCCACCTACAGATTATTTTAAGCTAAGAAATAGTAAAAACTTTACTTTGCTTTAAAATGCTTTGCAGGCTGTGGTGTGCTTGCCACTGCAGAGAGGTACAAGGGTGCTGCTGTAACAGACACACTGTCTCACACGTGCACAAAGGTGTGAGTGAGCTCCTGCCATCTCTGCCAAGGGGGTTACACGTGCAATTACAAGTTGGAGCCCTCTGTAATGCTTCTCTGCCTCATGAACATCACATGTCCACCTACTGAACAAAAATTCAGCCCTGACTGAGTTCCAGAAAAGCAATCTGCCAGAATATGTAAAAACAGCAACAATAACAAAAAAAACCAGAACATAAATAAATTAGACTGAGCTTAGCATTGATTTCCTCCCTTCCTTTCCAATTTCTTTTGGCTCCAGCATTTTCAGATTCATCTCCAAATATCTGAGTCTTTCTCCACAAGCATCAGTTATCAGAAATCCGTAACGACTTCACCACGGGCACAGAGGAGAATCACCAACATGCTCTGTGCTTGGCAGCTTTTGAAACACTCAGCACATTAGTGAGTACTGACATGAGCACAGGAACTAACAGAGCACTGCTGCCATGAATTTACCCCTGGAGTTCTTAAACTTTACTCAAATGACACTGAGTGTAACACACAACTCCTGAAACACCAAACAGCAGCAGTGAGAAGCAGACTTGTAACTAAGAGGCAGGAACTTGATGAAGGCCCAACGCTTCAGCTGACATCCTTTCCCTAGCACCAACACTCAGTCACCCAGCACACCTCAACGTGAGCAGTGTCCTCTCTATTGCTGCCATCAGCACCACCTTTCTCGTACCTAGCTGAAGAAAAACAAAGACATAGCTGTGCTAATCCAAGAGACACACAGACCTGTCACCATAGGGAGAAGTGAAATTAAACTCACCGGAACCGTAGGCTGCATAGCAGCTTGGGACATGTGAGACATCATCATTCCAGGCATGACTGACTGCATCATTCCAGGCATCTGCAATTAAACAGCATTTCAGTGCACCAAGGAGTGCCCAAGGAGGCTGTGGATGCCCCATCCCTGCAGGCATTCAAGGCCAGGCTGGATGTGGCTCTGGGCAGCCTGGGCTGCTGGTTGGTGACCTGCACACAGCAGGTGTTGGAACTGGATGAGCACTGCAGTCCTTTGCAACCCAGGCCATTCTATCATTCTATGATATTTCAGACATTTAATATGAGTTCTTTCTTTGGTTTCAAATAATTAAATGACACTACACTTCTAAACAAACCACTTACAAAGAATTTGGCAACATAAGTTAAGCTTGCAGAACTCTGATTCCCTTCTGATTCCTACAAAATCTACATGAGGAACAACACAACCCCCCATTCCAAAGTCATGTATGAAGTAATAACAAACACAGCTACTGTAACTACAGAAGAGCAACAACAAATACAATGTGCCATCCTTTAGATGAGCTGTGACTGAAATCCTAAGTTAAAACAGGAAAAACAAAGGTTTGTAAAGATCTCCTCAAAACTCCAAGGCCACATGGAATTAATTAAACACAGGAAAGGTAAACTCTGATTAGTTCTGCTCACAAGTTTTTGCTGCTTTCAATTTGTCTCCCTTTCCTCTTAGCTCTGCAAGAAGAAACACTTGACAGGGACACTGGAAGAATGCATTTCTCCAAATGACTTCAGTATGAAGAGATCTATTCCATGTAAACATCAAAACATCTGAACAAAACCCCTCGGTGTGGACATTCAATATGAAGCCATACACAATATGAACTTGGCAATGGGGATACATATAGTATCACAGACAACAAATTTTGAGCCTAGACTTGTATCTGAGTTTGCTGGGAGGTCTGATGAGGCAAAAGAAGAGCCACAGAGCTGCTACCCAGATAAGCTTGGCTTTGCTCAGATACTTCTGCTTACAGTCTCTAAGGGATGGTTATGCAGAAGCTATGCACTGCAGTGATATATACTGAAAAGTTGTACTGGAAGTTTAATATTTTGCATGCTTACCATTACTTTTTTGCTGATGTGGCTTCTAAGAACTACTAAGCCATTAAAAGAAAATGACAAAAAGAACAAAATATTTAATTCAGGTCCCTTCCTACTGGATTTTTTGCTCACTGACCCCAGATAGACTCTAGAAATCAACCCTCTTCATCCTTTCAGTTATGTCCCTTTACCTTCACTGTCCTTGGCAGGGTGGCCAAGTGACCCCATCCCCCTGTATCTTCAGGGACTATCAGGGTACCACTCTCCTCATCTTGCACTTTGTGCAGAGAGAGGGATATGGGGTAGGGCTGCAGCTCCACCCTCATTCCACAAGGTTTTCTAGGGAGGATGAGGAAGGAAAGAAAGACATGAAGACAGCCCCTCCTGTTCCTCGCCATCCTGTAGAAGCTGGAGCAGAAAGCACTCACCCCACTGCTGCTTCCATCTAAGAGGGCTGTGAGACTGTTGCAGCTTCTTAAAAGCCCTAGCCCAGGTCCTCCAGAAACCCTGAACACTGTTTGGGCTCTGTGATGCCAGCCCAACACAGGAAAGGAAAAAATAAGGCCTTGCTCTGCACGATGCTGCCAGGTCATACTACTGTTGCTATTGCCTGTGCAGTCACTTGCCCTGCAGTGGTTCTCTTCAGAAAGGAGAAGAATGAGCTACAGGAACGTTCCATCCTGCAAAGTTTTACAAATAAACCTCAGACAGATGCTGGAAGAAAGAGGTTATCACCCAAGGAAACAAGCCAACATAAGCTGACGCTTTCATACTTTTGGTGTGAGTGTGCCACTGTCCTGTCCCATCCTCAAAGCCATAGGATAACTGAGCCCCTCACTGCCAAGCCATTTACCTGCAGCCTTTTACTCTACAGTAAAGCTTTTTACTCTATTCTTGAGCTCTCCATCACTGTTGCTCACTAAAATATTGCAGACTGAAATACTCACAGAATGAGTAAGCACAGTGGAACAGAAGTTAAGACAAGCATACCTCTTAAGCAGAGGAATAAAACAAAATTGCTGTTTGAGTTTAATAAATACAAAGAAAAATACTCACTGTTAACTGTCATACCAGTGGTCAAGTTCTCCTAATCTACTACTGCATTATTTTTGCCATTCTAACAGGCTGCAGAATGATGCTGAAGGCTCCTCTCATGCTTTTACACACAAGCAAGACAAAAAGCCCCATCCACAGCCTCTACCCAAGGTACTGCAAAGGAAAACAAGCAAGGAGTTGCCTGCAGGGCCCTGAGGGCTCTTCTCAGAGCATTAATCACTCACATCACCCTCTCTTCTCCATCATCTAGTTGATAACCCTCGGTTTCTCCTAAGGCAAGCTGCTATGACAGCAGTACTACTGAAGCATTCCTAACAAACAGAAAGAGAACTGCTTCCTTCACAAGTTCAAAAATCAGAAAGCACAAAGGCTTTGTCATTACTGAGAATAAAGTTTTAAATGTGCAAAAGGCACAGCTCTGATTCTGGCTACTCTACCTGTCAGCTTACTTTCACTGGCGTTGATCTGAACGGCCAAGTTTCTTTTTCAAACTGCATAATATGTTAGCAACAACAGTATATTACACAGCTACAATTCACTCTCTAGGATTCAGGAGGGAATTCTGCAAATCTCAAGTCTTAATTAATTCTTCCCTGCATCTCCTTAATAGCCTTCATCCGCATGCACATAACAGCCAGGAATTAGAGAAACAAGGAGCTCTCTTATTTCAACATCTGAGAAGAATCAAAGCTTTCTGATTCCAGTATGTATTAAGATGATGTTTTTACTTCTTCAAAATCTTAAAAAAAAATAATCTAGCAATAAGCTTTTTATTAAAAAATAATAAAAAAGATAAATACCTACATCTATTTACAACCAAAGTTCTAAACAAAGTGCATCAGTTACCTGTTACAACAAGAAGAGGTTCAGCATTTTCTGCATGGATAGGAACAGTGGCACAGAACACCCTGAATTATTAACCTCCTTTGCAAGCTACTGTATGCAACTTACCTACATTGGATGACCTGACATCATTATGGCAAGAAAAAAGAAAAATAATCATAAAAATGTCTCACCTGCCCCATTGGTGGTCCTCCCATCGGGGGCATCATCTGAGGCATCATGCCATGTGGAACTGGGGGCATGTTTGGTGGCCTCTGCCCCATGGGGTGCATTCCCATGGGTGGGTAATGCGGCATCCCCGGGTGTCCCATCTGAAAGACAGCAACAAACAAAAAGTGAGCATGAAGCCAACAACCCCCCCGTCCCTCAAAAAGCACTGATAACAAAGAGATGCTCAACGCCGAGCTGGAAGTTATGTACTTCACTTTGGCTTTTAGCTCAATCCTGCCTGGCAGCAAGGAAGGTAACGACAAATAGCATTCAGTCTCCTATATCCATCCTCCTGACAGAGTTTGAGAACTAACAAGGGCATTCAAATTTTCAAAATCAACACGCAAACAGGAAACAAAACTCTGATAGTCATTTATCTTATGGCTTGTCACAGAAAAACACACTGAACTTAGATCAATGCAAGTCACCCTGCGGGACGAGCAACATCTCTCCTGCTCCTTGTGACCAAAATACATCAAATCACACCAAATATGATCATCACTACCTTATTTTCCTTCAAACATGGGGCTTTCTGCTGTTCCAGTACCTGGTATGGCGATGGGGAAATGTTTGAGATATATATGTATGCATATATATCAAAATGCAGCAGAAGCCTTGTGTTTGGGTGGTTGTGCACAGAGCCAGGAGCAGGACTCGATGACCATTCTGAATCAGGATGCTCTACGACTCCATTCTAGCCATTGACACCAGCTGTAGTAATGGGACGCATGCTGGAAGGGGTTTTACTCTGAAAACTACAAGGCTTAGCTCTATATTTCTGTATGCGTGTAAATGCCCTAAAATTGCTAATAGGAAAACAGTCCCTAAACAAATGACGGTTCCAGAACGGATCATTACAGGAAAAACAAACAAACAAAAAGTGTCATAGAACCATTAAAGTCAGACACCCAAGACCTGCAGGCTCCCCCTCCCTCCCCCCCCCTCAGCACCACACGAAGGTTTCCCGCCCCGCAGCGCCCCGAGCCCTGCAGAACCGCGCCGCCTCCCGGGGCGGAACCGCGCCCTGCCCTCCCCCCGCACTCACCATAAGAGAGCTGCGGTCCACGGCGCCGGGCCGCATGGAGGGGCTGAGCAAGCTGCCCCCGCCGCACCTGCCAAGAAGGCGCCCTCTGAGTGGCTGCCGCGACGAGGGGCCGAAGGGCATCAGCGGCTCGGGCTCCCCGCGGGGCGGGAGCAGCGGGGCCAGCAGGCTGACCGGCTTGCCGGCCGGCCAATCGGGGCGCCCCGCCAGCCGGGTGCCCTTCGGCGATTGGTCGGCGGCCGAAGCGACGGGACGGACGGCGTCCCCCGGCGTCAGCTGCATGAGGGGAGGGGGCTTCGGCAGGGAGAACGGCAGCGGCTGCGGGGAGGCCGTGGCCGCCGCCGCCGCCGAGTCCCCTCCAGACATCCTGGCCGCCGAGTCCGCCTCCGGGAGCCCTTTCCCGCCCGCCCTGGCGGCCGCCGGCCGGGAACGGGGATTAGCGGGCGGTTAGGGAGAGGATTGGAGGGCCCGCGGCGGAGCCGAGCGGAGATAAGCGGCGAACGGCCGGGCCGCGGAGAGCGAGTGCGGGGCCGGGCCGCGGAGCTGGCGCGGGGGGAAGCTGCGGCGGGGGCCGAGCGCAGGGAGCGCCGGGAAAGCGCTCACGTGGGCTGCGGGCGGGCGGCACCAAGAGCGCCGCGCAAATAGGGGTGTGTCGTAGTGCGCCTCCCGCCTCGCCCGCCTCAGCGCGACGGGAGGATGCAGCCGCCTCCCCTCCGCTTGGCGGCGGTGGTGCGTGCCGCCTCTCGACGCCTCGCTGCGGCTCCCCCCCGCTCGGCGCTGGCTTGGTACGCGCCGGGCTGCGGCGGCGCGGCGAGGCGGGCGCGGCCCCCGGCGTCAGCGCGGCGTGGTCGGGGCCTCCGGAGGCGGGCTGTGGGCCGGATCGAGGAGCGGAAGCCGGTGCGGAAGCCGGTGCGGTTGCTCGGCTCTGGGTCGCTCCGTTGTAGCGGTTGCCGCTTCAGCTTTTCCCTCGTGTTCGCGCAGCGCTCTGTTCGCCGGCCAAAGGTCGTGGTGGAAGCGGGGCTGTGCGGCCGGGCGTGCAATGGACCGGTGTGTGCCCGGCTTCCTGCTGCAGGCTGAGCTGTGGAGAATCGCGAGGCTTCGTGCTTTGGAGCCCCGCGCTGCCTGAGCCCATTCTGTGATGGAAGGGAGCGGGAGAGCGCAGGGAGACCAGGGCAAGGAAAGCTGCAGGCTGGCATGATTCCCTGCGTGGTTAACTGAGACTGAAATGGTGTGAGATGCCGCTCTTGGTCTTCAGTGGAATGCTGCAGCATACGGTCATATCATGAGAGCATAGAATGGCTTTCCTGGGTTGCAAAGGACTGCATTACTCATCCAGTTCCAACCCCCTGCTGTGTGCAGGGTCACCAACCAGCAGCACAGGCTGCCCAGAGCCACATGCAGCCTGGCCTTGAATGCCTGCAGGGATGGGGCATCCACAGCCTCCTTGGGCAACCTGTGCCAGTGCCTCACCACCCTGTGTGTAGAAAAACTTCCTCCTAATATCCAACCTCAACTTCCCCTGTCTCAGTTGAAAACTATTTCCCTTGTCCTATCACTGTCCACCCTCACAAACAGCTGTTCCCCTTCCTGTTTCTACACTCCAAGTATTGGAAGGCCACAGTGAGGTCTCCTCAAAGCCTTCTTCCATATAGCTTGTTATAAGAACACAACTCCACTAAAAACGTGGAGCTTATGCAGATGAAAACCATATGCACTGTGCTAACTGCCTTTTTACTTGTGTATCTCCAGGTGTCAGCATGCCAGCACTGTTTCCTAGTACCTGGCACTTATCCATGCAGGTGAGCTTGGTGTAACTACGGCTGCAGTTTCTCACAGCCAGTTGTGAGTGTGGCCCTTTAGATGTGCTATCCAAAATAAGCGCTGTTAGAAGTGTGATGGCTTCTAAATGTGAAGGCATTTCTGCAGGTGCCCTGCTCTTGTTGTTTAGCAAGTCTGTTCAACTGTAGGCCAAAGTTCCCTTTTGCAACCAAAATCCAGGAATGAACCTTGGCAGCATGAACGGCAGATCAGGTACTGGAACAGCTGCCCAGAGAGGCTGTGATGCCTCGTCCATCCCTGAAGGTGTTCAAGGCCACGTTGGATGGGGCACTGGGCAGCCTGGGCTGCTATGAAATGTGGAGGTTGGTGGTCCTGCATGTGGCGGGGGGTTGGAGCTTCATGATCCTTGAGGTCCCTTCCAACCCTGTGATTCTGTGATCAGAAAGCAGATATTAGTTTATTGCAGTGCTTGGTGCCTGAGGGATTGCTCCTTACCATGTGAGCGCACACAGATTTCGTATGTTTTAGTACACTAATATTCATAGGGTTTTTCAGACTGCCCACCTGCTCCTAGAACTGGTATACAAATTAAAATCTAGTATTACATGTACACTGTGTTAATATGGGGTTTTTGCAAGGGGGTCTGTGGTGGTTGTGAGGTTCCACTGCGAAGTGCTGTCCAGGTGAAGGGCTGTGTGTCATGTAGCCCAGCTCCCATATTTGGTGAAGAACTTGTTTATAAAACCATGACCACTAAGTTTGTAATGAGCACATCAATCTTCTTATGGTGTTTATATCATCAACACTACAGTGTACCTCCTCAAGGCTGGTGAAGTGCTGAGGCTCTGCTATTAGGCCCCAGATGTCCTCCTTATCTAGGGGATGCAGTCTTCCCTAGACAAAATACCAGTTTGCTGAAGAGTTTGAATTCATTGCTGAAGGCTCTGAACTTATTGCCAGGTATGAGTATGAGGATTTATAGGGCTTTTGCAAGTTGGGATCCCACAAACATCACAAGCTATCATTTATGTGACTGGAACAAGACTACTGCTGCAGTGGCATTCTTTTAAGGGATCCTGAAATCTGTTGATAGAATCTGTTTCTAGCTCTGCCACTAGCTTTCATTAAAGCCAAATGTATCTGTGAAGTCAATTAGTCATCTCTTAATAAAGAACAGCTCACATATGTAAGCTTAATTTGTTCTGTGAGATGCACAGATAATTTTGCTTACAGGGTTTTAAAATACGCTGTCTCCAGGCTGAAGAAATGCCTAGTTTCACTGGGCCCATGTGAGAATATCTGATTAGGAGGTCTCATCTGAATAAGGTATAAAATTCCCAACCAGCTCTCCAGTGAGAGTTAAATACATGTGCAGAGAGCAGCAAACTGTGTGCATCTCCATCAAATTTCTGTAGGTAAGTGTTATCTTGGCACTTTCAGCTGGTTTTCACAGGTGTATTAAAGATAATAAAGACTTAAAGATACAAAGTACATTTTCACAGTCTTGTTTGAAAGATGGACACAGAAGTATTATGCAGATGGTACCCGAACCATATACCTTGGCTTCTAACCTTTCCTGTCTTTTTTGACTGAGTCTCAGTTATCATTTTGCTATGCTGTATATTGAATATGCTCAAATTGATGTTAACTTCTATTGTCACCAAAGGAGGAAATGTAAAAGCATGAATAGTAACACAGGAAGATTGAGCTGTTGGTTTGTAATGGTGATTTTGCCTTAGTATGCACTTTTGTCATGTTGAAATTCTGTGAGTTTAATCACTGTGTGATAAGAAGAGGCAGTTTGTGGACAGGATATTAAACCTTGATTTCTGTCATACCAAGCAATTGCTGTATCTTCATCACTTCCTAAAACTGACATCCTTTCAGGTTGAAGTGTCCTACTGTATTATTTAAGGCTTAAGATTATTACAGTTGAAATTGTTTGGTTTTTTTTTAGTGCAAAACTGTGTACTTTAATGACTATATTTCATCCATCTTCATTGTGACTGAATCTAACTTTCTGTCTCACAAACACCTCAGTTGATGCTTTCCTGGCCAGGTTTCCATGTAAACAGGGTGAGCACACAGCTATGCAATGTGGCACCAATCCAATTGCAGGCAGCACAGTGCTTGGGAAAAGCTGTTACCTGGTGTTCATCGTGAGGAGGAGTCGTCCTCACCTGAGAAGCCTGGGGTCTTGATGGACAAGTTGCTGATCCTCCTCACCTGTGTCATCTGAATGGTTTAGAGGTGAATAAAATATGATGGTCTGTATCAGAAAAGCATTGGAAGTTTGGCTTCAAAATTATTTATAACTGCTATCTCTTGAAGATGTGGTTGGAGCAGCTATCGAGATGCAAATATTGCTGGTAAGGAGTGTCCATGTGCATGGGCAGGTGTGCAGGCTCTGCTGGGGGCTGAGGAAGCATTGACTGTCCTTGAATAGTTTTCTAACACAGAAACACTATAAACTACCACCTTGCTCTCAAAATTTAGAAGGCAGATGCAGGTGATGTTTGTAGACAATATCCTGGAGGCAGCAGAGGTAGGAGTGCTCCTAGACATGAATTTATTTAATCCCTTGTTTAAAAATCTGTTGTAAAGTTGAATGGTTTGTTTGACTGACCCACTAATGCTGCAGCTGATAGGGTGCTCTTAATCTCTGTGGAGTGTGGGCACATCTTTTGCTGATTATGCTGATACATTGCATTAACCTGGCAGCTTGATTAGCAGTCAGATGGTCCCCAGGAAGCCAGCTGTGTTGATGAGAGGTGTGGTAGAGTTGGCCATAGGGGCTGGAAGCCTTCAGGGTGGTTTTTGGGGGTTCTTGGTATCCGTGATACGTTTGCTAATCATGTGTTCTTCTTCAATGCTGGGGAAGACAGCCATCTTCGCACGCTGCTTCTCACGTGCCCCAGATGTGTTACAAATGATGTGAGATTCAGCACATGTAACAGCACAGGAACTGAGCAGGCAGTGCTTTTGTTCTTTCCATCCCCCACCAAGCTGGTTTGTCACTGCAGGATGGAGGTGCTGAGCTGCTTGTGGAATAGCTCCCCAGTCACCATCTGACAAAGTTCACACCTTGAAGTTAAGGTCCTAAATTTACATCCTAGGCACTCCAGCAGAGCCCACATTAAGTGTCCTAACACATAAAAAGTAAAAGACCTTGCCTTAATCATTTTTTTCCCTCCTGTGATGAAGTTAAATTTATAAATCTTACGTTTGCTTTCTGGTGTTAATGGTGTTGCTAAAGCATCCTGCTCAGCCTGAAGCTGCTTTTTGTCCAAACAAGGCCTGATTACCTCTTGCAAAGGGAAGAGCTGCCC